AAGTAGATGGGTAATCAAGGAACGTACAACGGACATACTTGCCCCCTTTGTCCAAAGAGGATACAATGTTGTGATGAAACACAGCATTTATGTTTAATAGCTGGCAATAAAACTACATAACAGTGTCAGAATAAAAATTTTCGTTGATTTGATTCTATTCATAATGTGGTGAGTGCTATTGATAAAATTTATTAGTAACATATGAAGAGACGTTCATCAGCACTGAAGCATCAATTACCAAGGAGATACATTAGATTTCAAATGATACAACGTTGTGGAAATATATGGGCGACGTGAAAGAAACTCAAAGAATTACAACATGAAGTTCAGAAGTACCACATACACGAATATCTGTGCAAACAGTGCGTTGAAGATAAGGTGTACACAATTTGGTTATATAAAGATACCGATTATAATTTGTGACCTGCCTGACTCCATAAATGTTAATCAACTTGATACGGTTCAGAATCTGTATAATTATTATTTTTATTATTTATTTTTTCCTTTAGTTCCTAGAGGAACATGTGGATTCAGCCTCACGTCTCCATTGAGTTCGGTTGTCTGACAAAGTTTTCCACATGGCTCCACGTCTGACCACATGATTTCATCTCCTCTTCATATGACTTCCTCCTCCATGTCACCCTCGCAATGACGACCAACTAACTTGCCGCTTCTCATTCGGGTTCCACTTAAGCGATAGCCTGGCGTGTGATGGGTGTCACTTGATGGTGTGTTTTCTGAGATTCTGACCGATCCACCTCCATTTCTTCCTGAAGGTTTGTCGTTTGTTTGAGGTGCTCTTAATGACTCGTCAAATCTGTGATCCATAAAGTAGCACTGACTTCACATTGGAGTTGAAAATCTGGACGTTTTTTTCCATGCTGAGTAGTGCTGTCGACCTCCACACAGACTAGAGAGAGCTGAAAGCTTGCCTTGCTTTCTCGATCCTTCCTTTGATATCCTCGTCAGTTCCACCTGTAGTTGAAACGATGCCTGAATTTGTATAATGATTTGTGAATATTCTTATAGTCAGAGGTTTAATGTACGCATGAATCAGTGAGTCATGTTTACCTGTGTCTGATTGCCATCTTAACAAATTCACAGGCAATTGTAATGCTATAAGGCATTATCATGTGCCAGGAATTAGATATTCGTGTTTATGTGACAGTACCTAACAGATTTTTTTTATTGATATTATGTTTCTTCTACTAATAATATCAATTAATTTCGTTACCAATATTGTAAAATGACTTACTTTTTGTCTCAGTTCAGGATATCTTTGTTTGAAACAGTAATATCAAATAATTTTATTGTTGATATTCATGAATGACTTACGCTTTGTACGAATTCAGCATAAATCTCATCGAATTCTAAGAAAATGCTCCGTCCAATCTTCTACATTAAGAAGTTGAGATAATCACGAATCCCTGAACCTCCAATTTTTACAATTTGTTACTTCTGGCATCTTACCTATCGTTCTTTATTGCTCCCTCCACAACTTAGTCTTTTCTAGGCTACTCAAAAAGGACTATGTCATGTTTTGAAGGGTTATTAAGGCAGGTAGTGTGCCACTAAGTCAGCCAGCTTGTTAATGCTGCAGTCAGCAGCCACCTGAACTCATGTGAGATGTGGTTTGCATCCATACTGTCTGAATCTCAACACCCTCCTCTCTTCACAATTCGCCCCATATTGTATCTCGTAAGGTAACACTAGAAGAAGTCAGTATAAAAGATTATATGCTTGCTAGCACTACCAACTACAGAAACTCAATGATACGCCATTCGATCCATGTTTTATGTGAAAGAGAAAGTGCTAGGCATGAAACTTACAACTTATTATGCAATCAGCGAAATGAATGACTCTTTCATCTTCTATTTGTAATTTATCGTGACACTAATTCATTGTAGTTATAATTTCAGTTACTAACATTATTATAATTACCATTATCATTTAACACGTTTTGTTTATTTCCGACTTGACTGTTACTCCTACAGCCAGAAAGTTGTTATGATCCATTTCAGTCAACTATACCCTGTCATACTATTTTATCCTGTTTGTTTCTGCTGTTGTTATTGAGTGAATTAGATGCAGTGTTGCACCAAATGCTTGGAGTTCCATCCTGTATCATGAATACTGCTTTGGAATAAAGCGGGTTATTATTATTATTATTGGTAGTAGAATTATCACAGAATATACACATTAGATCATAGGAACTACTAAAAAGTTATAAGCATAAAACTTGGGCACTATGCTGGTAGAGTATAACTCCATTATAGATAGGATTTTATTTTGATAAAATCAGACAGTGTTGTTGTACAGTATTATAAACTGATGACAACATTTTGAGCACAAATTATTACTGCTCATAATCATGTTAGGTCACTCAGACAACCTTTTTGCTTCATTTATATACATGAGTAAAATTGATGATTAGACATTTGAATAAAATCGATATGTGATAATGTTCACTCGGAAATAATAATATGAGTGTTATTGATCAATTACAATCAGATGGGAAATAAGACGACTCTCTTTTATAGTCAAAATAAATAAGTAACTTGTTAGAATGTTGTGATGTGTTTGAATTGTAATAGAATTTTGAGATTATTTATTAACCTCCTCTGATTTGACTGATTGTTGGTGATAATATCTTCCATATTTCTGGAATTTGCATTGAGTCATTTTTGTTGCATGAGTTGGTTGTGCTGACTCAATGAACAAGGATTCAGTAATCAATCTCTTTCTCCACCTATCTAGATTACTTCTTAGAATTTTAACTCTCTCCCACCCACCCTGTTGTGTGATTGTGTGTTAAAGCATGGAGTGCAATCGCTGACCTTTTTTAAATTACTTATCTTCCCGGGGTCAACCATTCTAACCTTAGCTAAATTCCTATGTTCCGACAGTCTGACTACCACCGACCTGCAAGTTTGAACAATATAGTTGACATAACACATTCATTGCAAGGTATTTTGTAAATTACATTATTTTGTTTAATTGGGTCCACCTGGTCTTTTAACCTACAGAGCTTGTCTCTGCGTGAGTGAGTTTGTAGGTTTGAATGCCACCCTAACTCCTGTTTAATTCAGAGTCCTACGTATGGTCTCAGATGTCTGCAGTGAAGATAATTTTCATCTTGACAAAGTCATCAACTAGATAACTGTACATTCGTGTATTTACAGAGTAAATGGGTGGGAAAGTTCCAGAACTATTATAGGTCGAATGTTAAGTGAATAAAACTGTAACGTATAACATAACAAAATCATAATTATTGGGAAAACTTGACTTTTTTGTGCAATTAGAGATTAAAACTGTAGCAATACTAAAAATGGGCAGGAAGTTCATAGTCACTTTTAAGAAACGTAAAATTAACAGAAATAAAAACGAAGGTTGGATGAGAAAGGAAATAGGATGACGATTATTAATAAAAATTAGCTTTTATAATGTCCATAATAGGGCCAATGATTGGACGTACTTCTTTTGAATGCAGAGTGTGAGTTTGAACTTTTGCATTGCTAATGCCTCAGCTATGCCTTTGACCGAAAATTCTTCTGGAACTTTCTCACCTATTCACTATAAATACACAAATGTACAGCCTTAATCGAAAAGTGGATTTTCTTCACTGTGCCTGTCTTTCTAACATCGCATTTTCCTGTTTTTATTATTGTTATAACTTTATAACAGAGAATTATTGCAACAATATTTGTTCACTCTTGTTGTATGTTCGAGTCAATGCTGAATGCAGAAACTAAAATTTACAGTAATTTCTCCATACTGCCTTCCTCTATGTAATGAAAACTGTGATAAATTCAATGCACGCATTTCCAGGAAATAGTTCATTAGATAGACAATGAAAGAATTAAGAGATGTATATTTCCTAAAGAGACATGAATTGGACAATATCTTCATTTCAGCAGTTTTGTTCCAATCCAGTATAGACGTTCCTGAGTCTCAAGGAACTTAATCAACTGTCTCAGTAATGGTAGACCATATCTTGAAAAGACAGCTTCTGTAGCAAAGAAAGCTATCTTTATTAACCTGCTATTCAGTCGTGATCCACTTTTGTTGTTGACAGCTCAAAGACTTCGGTCAGTCAACAAGCGTACGCTACACGCCACATCTCTAACATTTCTTATCCCTGTATCTACGATTAAAGTACGAAATTCTGTGGAACCTACTTCAGACTCCATGTACAAGTTCACCTGAAGTTCCGGTGACACTTATGTAGGTAGAACCAATAGAATGTTCCAATGTTCTGTTGAAAAAAACATATTCCAGAATGGTTATTAAAGCATACAGAAAATCCCAATGCATTTGATCTGAATAGAAATCCAGCATCATCCATTTTTTTCCTTCACGTTCCCCAGTGGAACACAGGGCTTCAAGCTAGTGGCTTGAAGTTTCTATAGCAGTGTTTATTTCATAGGATGGGGTTGCTGGCTTCATACCCAACCTTTCCTCTTTGCCAGAACTATTTCTTGCTTAGCGAGGTAAAGGAGTGCGTCAGCCAGCGATTGAACCCCAGACCATGTGAATGGTGAGGCGAGCGTCCTAACCGCTATGCCACCCACGCACCGCATCATCCACTGCAAAGCACTTATCAATATCAGGTCACAAAATCAATATTAATGACTGATGCACAATTATTTCATCGCATAACTCTACTTCAAGGTTGGTTATTGAAGGTGATGGAAGCATTTTGGGGATTAATCACGTACATCCTAAACTATGTATACAAACAAAACAATAGACTTGATGCTACCTTTGCCCACCATGAACTGACTACTTGACCTATTTGAATATGATTGGTCATTAGTATGTATGTACTTTTGGTTTTATATAACTGATTAATTGTCATGCATTTTATTTTATTCAATTATTGTGAACCATGTCAGTTGTGAAACGATTATAGAGAAACAAAATGAAAATATCGTTTCGCGACATTTATCTTCTCACATGCTTTATTCAGAATAACCGAAATAAGTTTCGGTGAACTGAACGTTGTGACTTACATTTTACTGTACTAGGCTTTCAAAAAACATCCCTTGATGTAGGATGAAGGATACAATTCGTTTAAAAAAGAAGACCAGTTAACGGAAAAATTGTTTATGCCTATGGATATTATACAGTTTAAAATCAGATGCAAGTTAAATTATACAAAACATTAAATACTACTTTTTTTACATCAAGTAGTATTAGTGGTTGTAGTAGAAAAGGAGACAAAAATATGATATGGAAAGAGATTATAAAATGAAATGAAATTAACGAATTCTCCTTCATAAAGTATCACCATGCCTCACAGTCTATTCACAATTAAATCTCAAACAACAACTATCACATGGCTTCAAAAGCAGTTTCAAAATATTAAGTTACAAGTCAAAACGTTCTCAAAGAAGGTAAGTAAAAGACCATGACCTAGGACAAGGAACAATCAACAACATAGACAGAATCATCAGAATGTGTATGAATAGCCTGCTGATACATGAGACATCGCTAGCCTAAACCAAAGTAATCATATTTCTCTATGAAATCAGTGAGAAAGGTACATAGTATAACTGTGTTGCCTCTGCAAATCATATTTATCGGAAATATAAAGTAGCAAATTCAAAAGCAATTAGAATCACTGGGATGTATGCATACGCTTTGACATAATGAAGGAACTGGTGAGAATGAAGAAGAAATTCTCGAACCTCTCTGGTGGTTATCTCAACGGAGTTTGTTCAAAAGCAGACTGTTCAAGTAATTTCAGCTGCCAAATTTTACTCATATACTGTGAGTAAATATCCACTCCGAGAATCTTCTTCAATAAAATCTGAAAGATAAAGTAACAACAAATCAGAAGATGAGTGTTCCTGCTTCCTCCTTTTATCAAAATCATGCATACAAAGGTACTGAACAAAGTCAGGTGCTATCTCCATCTAATAAAACTGCATTGATCAATGTTCGTGAACTATCTGTATTCCTTTATTGAGAACTGTTACTCTTTTCGTCAAAAGCGGTATAATATTTCACTGAATTCTGCTAGCCTCTTCAAGGATCTCATACAACATTCACACTTATGTGTAAACATTCTGTCATTTAAACATGTCAACATGCGATTTAATCTCCTGGTGTCCTGGAGGTAAACTCCGATTTACATCAGCCATTCAGCTAGTGAAACAGAGTCGGATAAACGTCACGAAGCACATTAAATTTAATACCGTATCATTGTGTTAGCTTTCGTTGATAGTTCTATCAGTAAATGTCGAATACACTTGTACAGTATGTGTGTCAACCTACTTATGGTTCACACAGATTATTCCAACAGACAGAGCTCACTTACTCCTTCTCTCTCGAGTTATTTATAATTGCTGTTTATAACTCACTTCTTGTGATGCAAAACTCATATCTTTATCCAGAATTTCATAAGCTTCATGTAGTTTCTTCAGTCCGACACATTTTAAACACTCTCTGTAAATCAAGGCGATAAGAAAAAGATAAGACAGGTAGATATAAGTATTAATGCACAGACTTCAAATATAACAGTAATCATATCGAAACAGCTTATCCGATAACATCCAGTCTAACTGGTGTCCACCATTGCTTTGATACATTCTGTAACACGGAATATACACACACTGAATCATAGGAATTACTATGAAAAAGACGGTCAAAGCGAAGAAAGTTTTCTTTTCGATGATTTCACCAACTAGGAGGCTGTACTTTCGTCTACTTATTTATATTAAATGCGTACGAAACTTCCAGAATTATTTTCGGTCAGGTGTCATATTAATAAAATTACTAAGTGTCATTAACAGAAGATAAGTAGTAGCACTAGTTTAGAAATATTTCAGGTCAAAAGGCAAATTAAAATTACAATGTGTAATAATCAGGAAGATAGGGCGAAAAGATAAAATAGGATTATAATTACTAGAAAACTCGTCAGTTTGTAAGAAAACGGGTGAAGCACGTAGTACTAACGAAATGAGTAGGAGGTTTGGACTTGAAAATGAAAAAAGTAACCAAATCTTATAATGCAATATTTCGATTTAAAAAAGGTAAATATAACAGAAATAAATGGAAAGGTTGGACAAGAAAGGTAATGAGATAATCATTATCGGTGGGACTGACTTTTCATGATGGCCATGGTAGGGACAATGATTGGACGTATTTCTTTTGGACACATAGACTAGCTTGAGGTTTTGGATCGCCAGCAACTCAACTATTCCTAGATGTCTTGATTTCACTCCCTTTGGTAGGTGGGATCGGATCTTGTATATCGTTTTGAAGGACTTTTCAAACGGAGCTGAATGCTCTGAGTTCGCCAGATGCTCTGTTATCGAACTGCATACCTCTTTGTGTTCTCCATGTTGAATGGTGTTCCAGCGCGCGTTTTACAACTTTTTCACACATTCTCTAACATAATTTCTAATTATCAACCCACGATACGACAATTTACCACCTCATAAGTATTCAGTCAATTGTGTGAAACTCAGTCGAAATGAATAAGTTAGCTATGATTGAATCTCGTCATTGCTCAGTGTTGTGTATGAGTACTATGGCGCTGGCGCACACTGAAGGCCTATAAACAGTGTGAGAAAAAAGCAAGATTCTTAAGGTCCACCTTAATTAAGAAATAGATTCTAGACACAACTCAACACCCGTCATCTTGAGTAGACTCATTTAAATCAGATCCCTACATCAAACTAGCGTATGTCTTTGACTTATGCCCGCCTACTCCTTTGGTTCACGTCTGTTCTTCCGGATAAATTTAGCGTTCTCACTTGATGACATTGTATGAGTAGTGTAGAGAGAGAGAATTAGTTTATCAGTGTATACATTCCAAAAACTGACCTTGTCTTCTTCGATTAAAACTCTGTTCCATAAATCCAACTATGATTATGTGCAGAAAAAAATGTTCACATCCACCACCGAAGATGGTGAAAACTGACAGATGAATTCCTGATATCATCTTGTCACAATCTTTACTGACTAATTCTGTCAAACCCACTCTCCTTAACCACATAAGTAGCACTGAAAATGTCATCAGTCTAAGAATTTCGAATAAAAAATCCACAAGCAAAACAGTCATCTCTGTCAGAAAATTTAATTAAACCTCAGAATAAACTTAAACTGTCAGATATAGCAAAATGGAATTGAACAAAGGAGGATGGAATATTTTTTCTACAGGATAATACGAGCTCATTTTCACTCCATGGATTCTCTTCAACTGAACACATTCCAAACAATATAAGTTACAAAATTTAAAAACCTACATATTTCACAGTGAAGTCGAGTTACAGATAGAAAGTATAAGCAACATAATCCCAAAAAAGGAGGCAAGTAGACGAATTATTTAGTATTAGAAGACTAATTATTTGTAGTATAATTACACAAGAGTAGGAGGAAGGCAGACTGAATTCATATTTGGCTTGGAAACAAGGATTAATTAAAGACAAAATACAGAATAAAACAACAGGATGGAGAGTCTAGGAGGGTGGAGGAGATTAGTAAAGTAACATCATGGCATAGACAAAATAGTTATGTGGATTTGGAAACTTAATACTGATTTCAACTCTCAGTAAATTCAAAATTCTTCGGAATGTCATACAAAAGAACAAAACGCAAAAGAATACAAACAAAACAGTTACGGTTACCAGGCTACCGAGAGATTAGTCACGCTATCTTTCTGTATACAGAAACTGGGTCGAAGTCTTTTGATGACAACGGCTTCTGAGGACCGACGTTTTCTTTGTGTATTGATTATTCTGGAAGTTTCTTTCCCAAAGACAGATTTTTCGATCGTACCATCATTTCTTCCTTTTATTTTGAGATCTAGGCAGTGAAACTGGTTGTCACATGCATGACCTGTGTAAGGGACAGTGTGAGGATAAGCTGCATTGAGTTTTTCAAACATCGTGGATGCGTGCTTCATATTACTGCAAACCAAAAGCATGTCACCAACATACCTGCAGTAATAGGTGGTTCTTTTTCCATTTCCGGCTTCCTTCACTTCAGTCTGTTCATGATGAGCCATGAATATGTCGGTGACAACAGGACTCAAAGGTAAACAGCCCATAGCTATCTGGTCAGTTTGTTGGTAGATTTTGGTGTTGAGTCAGAAGTAAGTATTCTTTGTACAAAGGAGTGGTAATTTTCGTAGTTAATCTTCAGGGATGTTAGCGAAGGAGTCTCATTACTCCACCTACTTTTCCAAGTATGTCAGTTAGCCGCTGAGATGAAAGATTAAAGTTAAGATAGTGTGACTATGGGGTTAGCCTTTATAACCGTCACTCGCAGATATTTTCATGGTGATTTTGGAAAATGTTCCCTTGAAGCCGACAATCGATAAGTTCTCTCTGTACAAAAGGTACGTCGATGAAAATTTTATCACCTGTGATAACAAATGTGACCTTAATAATGTCCTTCAAGTTTTTAATACCTGCCACCCAGCCATCAAATTTACAATTGAAGCAGATACGGAGAGACAATCTCATTTCTGGACGTCTGAATAACAAACAAGACTGATATGACCCTAAAGGTATCAATATATCGGAAGCTAACGTGGAACAGTCAGCTGAAGAACTTTTACAGTAAGGTGCTCACCAATCACAAACGAATTTTGATAATATATCTTGCGACTAGAATCCTGTGAATAATGCAGCCCTGAATCTGCAGAATAGGAGATCACCGTTTCAGGCAGACACCATTTCGGAAAGGCTATCCACCACGCTTTATAGATAAACATATAAAGCAGAAAATCAACAAAGAACAATCCATATCTGAGCCGAAGAAGATGCTTCACATGAATGTGGTATTCCAATGCAACTTTCTGGCCAATATCCTGAAGAGAAGAATATCTAACGCTCTGAAAAGAACATTCCCTGACGCTACATTACAATTGGTATTCTCAAGCCGCTCACTGTTCTTCAATAACTCCAAAGATAAACTATCGCATCTGACCACTTCTATGTCTATCTACCAATTTACTCGCTCATTTGCAGCGAGACATTTAGGTCGTTTGATGCATGTTTTATCTAAAAACGTCAAAAAACATTATCCCGCCTGGCTACGAAAAGATAACAGCGGATTAATAAATAGTGATATAACTGAACATATATTCTACACTGGTCACTCAATATGCACGAAGAATCCATTCAAAGTCATCAACAAAGTCAAAAAGCCTACCGCTGTAAACCGTAAGCTTCCGTATACTTCACATTGTCGAGGTCTTAGCGATCCGGATAGAAAACATCCTAATGTACGCACACACACACAGATAAAATAATTATATATAAATGCGATTATGCAGTTAAGTGAATGAATTCAACGCCGAAAGCAGACTCTTCGTTGAACTTTGTTGTTCTTACAAATCGTAGACTCAAAGAATATTTGTGAAGCGGAACAATTCACACGCCTACTTAAAACTCTTTCATCCATAATTATTAGTTGATTTTCTTTACCAGTTCAGTAAAACTCTTTAAACACCAGTCTTCTATTAGTCACCTGAGTGAAACAGATACCTTTCTACACTGATTGCCACATACATTTCCCTAACAACGAGTAATTATTATCTTCAACACAAAAGAAGGTAACATTACTCAATTTATATTATGTTAGTTATTCCCTTTTCGCCTAGTAAAATGAGTTTACATGTTGTCAACAAGGAAGGATTTTTATGGCATATGCTGATGATTCACCTATCTTCATCTACAAACGTATTTCAGCATTTTAGACTTGCTTTTTATGACAGTTACGGTGATAAATCATGACAATTAATCTAATTACTGACATATAAAATAAGTAGTTGTTTCAGGATTTCATCATGAGATGACATCAGTTAGAGGACAATTGGTAAACCTGTAGGGACCACTGCAAGACAGCTGTTTCGTCAGCCTAGTTTGGGAGTCTTCAGTAGCACTCACCCACCACCAGTTCTCGAAACCATAACTTTCTGGTTACAAGGCAATCTCGTAGACAATTAAGCCAATGGGACACGATCCAATGGCCCACGAATTCGAACTTCTACCAATTGGTGATATGACGCGACCATTAGCGAATGTCATCCATGGTGAGTATTTGCCCTCACATTCACTAGTCCTGACTTCTCAGCAAGTTGGGTGTGAGGGCAAATACTCGCAATGGATGACACTCGCTAAAGGTTACGTCATATCACGAACTGGCAGAAGTTCGAATTCCTGGGCCATTGGATCGTGTCCCATTGGCTTAATGGTCTACGAGCTCGCCTTATCACCAGAAAGTTATGGGTTCCAAATTTGGTGGTAGGTGAGTGCTACTGAAGACTCCCAAACTAGGCTGACGAAACAGCTGTCTTGCAGTGGTCCTTACAGGTTTACCAATTGTCCTCTAACTGATGTCATCTCATGATGAAATCCTGAAACCAACACCTGAACGAGCATTTTCCATCCCTATTATTATCTAGTCGAAATTGTTATTCATTGGTCTACACTTCTTTTTTTATTACAGGTTAATTTCACACTGTATTTTTGGTACAAATATGGAATTTTCAGCATGGATATCGGTAGCCCAAATTTTCCAGACAGACCATAGATATCAGGTGTTCGTCGGCAGGGGATCGAACCTTGGACCATGTGCATGGTCGTCGAGAGTCCTAACCACTGTGCCACCGACGCAGCAAGATTATAGAATCAAGCCCAACTTGTTCTCTTGAAAAGTGGTTCACATCATCAACAGAACCTTATTACATATAAATTCATATGGATTCATTATGTAACGTCAGCTGGAACAGACATAAATCCCTTACCTGTCGTGTACATAATAACAGTAAGTAAGGCTTACCTGTGTAATTCCACAAATCGTTGTTTTAAGTGTACAGATCGGTTGATTGTTTCCTCTTCTAATGTTCATTAAATGCAGAAAGAACAAGAAAAGATTGGATTAAAATATACATATGGCAAAAGGTTTTGACATAAAAATATCCTCTCATACAGCGTCTTGTTCGAGAAATCTTTCAGTATTGTGTAGTCAATCACAGCGTCTCATGGGAAAGTTTTTCTCAAAAGATCCCTATTGACCTATTCATTTCAGAAATATTATCGACTTTTAGTTTAGACCACAAAATGAAATGTATTTGCTGCATGTAATCAAGTCGATCAACAACCCTTTCACGTCACTAACTTGTGTGATCAGAGACAGTTCCACATCCTCGTATTGATTATTCGGTACAGATCGTGTTTTGAGTGTCACTGCACTCCTATTTGATGTATTGATGATTCCAAGTCTCAGAAAGCACCAAACAACATTTCTGAGGTGTACACTGCTAATTTGTGAAACCATCAGATAGAAAATCGGAGCAATTGGTGGTCCAGCGAAGAGACTCTTTTCAACGAACTTATCATCAAACTGTACAATCGTATAAATATATATATATATATATATATATATATATATATATATATGGCTTTTTAAGAAATTATATCCGATGAGGCAATGGAATCATAGGTGTGAATGGATAAAATAATAATAATAATAGTAGTATGAAATATGATTAAAATTAAGACGTTTTTGATTCTAATTGTAGTTCAATGTAAAGTGTCAAAGCAACCAAGTAATTTGGCCAAATTACTTCCTATCCGACTCATCTGTATTGAAGAAAGGCTTGGCTATAGAAACAGAAAAGCCAGATGTCTGTATACAGAAAAACTTCGTTCAACCTCTCCAACTTTCATGGTCTTAATTGCTCTATGCTAAAGGATGGTAATCCCCATTTCATAGTTTGGATCTAACTATTTTTCGTTTTGTTTATTCAATTTGTATAGTCTTCCTTTATTACGTCAACCGTTACTATTACTATTCTGACTTTGAATTGTCCCCGGTATTATTTCACTTGTTGGACTTCTAATTCTAAATGGATTTTATTTTGTCGAATTTCAAACAATGTTACGTAACGTTTTTATTTTTATTCTTTTCGCCTTCTAATCCTATGATTTCGCACCTCTTCTAGGTTCTATGCACCCTATAAATTGTTCTATATGTGATGTTAACTGTTTTTCCATTTGACATTTAACTATGTTTATAACAACAAACATTTCAATTTTGATTGGACACTAGTAACTAGCGTGACGTATCTACTCCTTTCTTTGGTGAGGACTGAATTTTCACAGTCACGTTTGCAGTGTGGCCACCATTCCAAGTAGCTCGCAAACCTGACTGATAGAATTCAGTCTGCACAAAAGAAAGGAGTAGACACTCGTGTAGTTACTCGTGTCCAATCAAAGTACCCACTACAGTCCTACAGGAGGTCAACCGCGAGCTCAAATAGCTGGCTCAGTGATAACGTCTCTGACTGCAGGTGGCAGTGAGTGACGTGTGTTCGAATCTCAGAGAGGATATGAGTTCCTTCGAGGTGATTGTAGACACAGGTTACCTACTAGCCCGAAACCTAGGTCAAGGTTTCCTGCCGATTGCCTCCAACTGTAACCGGGTATAATTTCTTTAAAACCATATATATATATATATATATATATATATATATATATATATATATATATATATATATATATATATATATATATATATATACCAACACAAATTGCCAAGATAAATGAATTTTACAAAGCTTATGAGTTCAAAGTAGTCGGCTGAATATTTCCAGTATCACTTATCACCAAATGAGGAATGTACAAGGAAAGGACATATATATGTGACAAAAGATTCTCATGAAAATACTTTCTTAAACAGCACCTGTTAGCAAAACCTCTCAATATCATATCAGTAATCATCACTGGGTTATCACTGGTTCTCACGCTAAACTTTCTCAAAGATCTTCCTTAATCTATTCCACTGACGAACATCATAGGTTATCAGTCTATGCGAAAATGTATCAAGTAAAATAGCAACTCTTTCAAGAAAGTAACTGGCTCATAACTACCGATAAGCCTTCATTTTCTCCTCCTACAATCGCCTGTATGTCACTCTCGGATACCCTACTCATCATTTCCCATTCAAGGTAATGCCTGGCTTGTGATGTCACCTGATAGTCTCCTGAGCATGTGTCCGATTCATCTACATCTTTCTCGGAATTTTCCTTGAGCAATAGGTTCTTGATTGGTTCACTTCCAGAGTTTTTTGTTCTTAATTCTATCTGGTTGACCATCTGATTTTCAGTATGGAACCAGTGAAGTAAGCTGTGGGTAAAAAGGCTGCAGCCGCCTGTTGGAAATGCTTTTTGTGCAAAGCTAGCCAAGTTTCTGACCCATATAAATAGAAAGGAGTCACTTAACATTGGTGTTGAAAGTCCGAATTTTGTTTTTCTACTCTGAGTGGAGAGGATTTCCAAACTGATTTCATCAGATTGATGAAGATTTGTCTTCGAGTGAGTATATACAAATGCTAAATTCATGTTCATTTATCAATGATGGTTATCTGTGATCTTTCAGTTGACTGACATATCGATGTACGAGCTTATCTAAAGTACAAAGGTAAAGCTTGCCAGACTCCTAAGGATCACACAAAAGTCAGGTAGAGAAATGTAATTAAATTACAGTGGACAAAGACTTAACAGAGAGAGAGAGAGAGTAAACAGTTAGATCAGTATTACTGAAGACTTTTAAAATATGGAAGGTAATTTAGCAGTGAATACATCTGTGCTACTGCAAAGAATTCCGACGCACATCATCCAAAATCTCCTGACATAGATTCTTTCCACTGCACAATTTCCTATGCGATACATACCAATAGTCAAAGACATTCTGGACTGGTGAGCTCCAATACAGGCATATGACACCTGAAACTACTGAAAGAAAGCTGAACAAATTCTTAAGTGACGGATAAATTCAACTACCGGTAAATAGCACACTATCACTGTGTTATATATCTAACAAACAAATTACAATGTTATCTGAAAACAGTAATCAAAGGCTGTTATCTCTTTATGTTTAAACACTTCAAACTTCTTTCCAGTCTAACCGTATGTTAACTAATAATGCTCATCGAAGCCTCATGCAAACCTTTGAGTGAAGAGACTGTTCAAAACAGGCCTGATAAGATTAGTAAATAACCAGTTAAAACAAACTCACTTGGTTCAATCGGTCCATTATCTTCACTGCTACAAGTCAATGATTTTTGATGACCACCTGAACATATGTTAAATCCATTGTCCACAGTGACAAGCCTCCTTTCACTTTTACTACGACGAATTATCACAGGAGCACCTGGATGACAGTCATCTTTCAGAGTGTCAGCTAGATAGTCAACCACTGCAGCGATCTCCATGTCACTGCTAAAATACAAAGAAAATTACATTCATCAAGCGGATAGTTAATAACTGAATTCATTCTAATGGCAATACGAAGTCTGTGCATATTACGGAAAGAAAATTATCATTGTATTTCACATGCATTTATAGCATAACAGCTGTACCCTGATCCGTTCAACTATTACATTCTTGATGAATACAAACAAAGTGACAGCTTCAGATGGAAAAGCAAATCAAGACAGTGAGTACTTCTGCCTAATCCGAGAAGAAGGTGTCGCAATATCAATCAGTTCACTTCACGTCTGTAGTAATCAGTAATCCTTGGCTAGTCGTACTCGACTTCAAACAAAATGACTGACTAAAATACAGATGAATTACTGAAGATCGAATCAGTGAAATTTCCACCCAAGACTGACATCCAATAAAAGATATTTCCCGCTTATTATTTTGCCGTTATGGGCACCTTCATGATGGGAATCATTCAATGAATATGTAGACTGCTTCAAAACTCCAAGTATGTGGTTCAATGACTTATAAAATTATCACACAGTATGGAGTTTTATATTGAAGCAACATTGTCTCGTGAAGATTTTCACATCCACAATGAGTCTTCCTTGCAATAATTTCAGGAGTCAGATCAGATTTACAGACTCGAAATAATCCCAGTTAACAATATCTATAAAAATATGGTAATTACCAGAATCGTATCGAACATTAAAGAGACATATCACCCGGTTACATCCCATTTCCAGATCCATTTTAAGTGAGACTGAGATGGAAGGAGTCTTCCATTTCCTACATTCAAATTGGCGGTAGCCTTATTTCTATCATTCAGTATCAAGACAAATTAACTGGACGTTCTCAGTCAGACATTTGTGAAGACTAACACTCATGCGTTATGCATAACTTGAGTCATACGACACAGACTTCGTTTTCAGCTGCAGTTATGTTAGATAGCAGGATGCCAAAAGGTAACCAACCAACCGTGTGATAAACAGCTCACTATATGAAAAATACGACTAGAAACCTACTTTTGATGACAATCCGTTGACTTGTTCACATCATTCTCCTTGTCAATGTTCTGGTCTCGACAAAGTTCTGATTTACATTGTTGATCTCCAATACTGACGTTACGTGTCACTCGACTCAGTACAGGAGTATTATCACCGTCCATTCCATGTCTAATATCTTTTGAAACACTCTGATCCTTCAAGGATGTTGAATTGCACTGAAATACTGATGAGTCCTTCATGTGAAGAAAATAATACACAAAATGTAAACAGTAGTGTTCCTCTATCTGATTTGAGTATAGTTTCCGCTTATCTGTCTCGTCCGCCTGTTAGTTACACATTTTCAAGAAAACGCTTCGACCTTATATACCAATTGTGTGAAATATAAACTAGCACTACTGTTCGCTACCGAACAAAGGCAAAGTGACTGACAAACGTGTAGCATTCAATTGTCTACTGAAAATACCAACTGTTTCTGTTGTATTCTACGGCTCCAGTTTACAATACACATGTGGACTAAACTTATTTGGAAATACCTCTGGAGTTTGTTGAATTCATCTACTGATGCCGATAAGACAGCAACACGCAGGCTCGGCTTAAAATACCGAAATGAAAAGAATATTCACCATGCATTCCTTCTATCTGCTAACTACTGCTAACTATAGACTGAGTTTTGTAAAAGAGACCAACTTCTGGCAATAATCCACACAGTGTGTGACCATTGGCGTTAGATGCACCATGTACTGTTATACACAATATGTACAGCGTTATTCTTATTCTTATTATTATTCTTGTACTAACATGTGAACCACAGATAATCGGTAACGAGGAAGGTACTACAAGAAAATTTCGTCATTCTCAGTATCTCTCACTGATTAGTCAAAAACGAGTTATCCACACGAAGCACAATAATTTATGCTTTCATTGTTGACGCAGTTTACCGCATAAAATGGAATGATCTTGATCTCAACACCATTTCGTAACCAAATCTCATTCTGTCTGCCAATTCTTCCCATCATATCTCATGTTCTACAACCAACACGTCAAACAAGAAACGAAAAAACTCTCACTCAATAAAAAGAGCATATACTATCAAGACGAGCAGATATTCTGTATCACACTTCACAAAATCCAAAAATGATTCTGCTCTTCACTCATTCACCATGAATATTATTCGCCAACTTTTGTGATGAAAGAGTTACAATCAAATGTCAAGGCTCAGAGAACTAACAAGCGTGAAAATAGTAGTCTCCTTTTGACGTCAATGTATGGAACTAGTCATTCGGTGTCAAGTCAAACTTCATATGTCTGCCAGTGATTTAAGTGCTTGATTATGAACCGAAACACAATGATTTCCCATCCACCTAATTGTAATCACGTTTGAAAAATTGTCCAATCAATGTCAGTCAGCAAACTTCTACTGAGAATTCCTCCGACTTCACATATCATACAATCAAAACTTATGCAAAAATGAAATGAAATATAATACCTGTCTGTCATGATTAACTGGTGGAGATGAGAACAACACCGCAGGAGAGGATGATATTCCTGAAGAATCGACTTGTTCAACTGGAAGGCGAGAATTTCCACTCGATTCACTGAATTCAGTAGAACCATTCCCCAACAGTGCATGTTGTACTGTTGAATGAACAGAAGAATCACTCTCACTACGATAACTTGGTCTACGCAATTTAGGCAACATCGACACAGGAAGAACACTGAATGAATGTGAATGCAACTTCCCACATTCACGGAACTTAAAACGTGGACTGTTTTCATCCGTATTGGACACCTCGTTGAAATCTGAAGACTTGTTAACACGATCCACCTGGTGTTCCTGTTTACAATGAACAGGGTAGCCATTATGTTGTTCACCTGAAAGTCACAATTAAAAAACTATGATGGTAAGAGAAACACACACTGATACTAATAAATTAATGCTACCACACTTACGAACAGGGATGAGAGAAATTATCACTCGACTTATAATTCAATCTGGTGATTGATTCTCAGGTAATAAAATTCCTGATGATAATGTCATCGGTTTGTGTAGGACAGTCAGTGACACACAGGTTTCACTTTGTTGAGTTGATGTAAAGTAATGTGGAATTCTGTTCTACTTACCAAAGCAGAAAGAGGTCATTGGTATCGAAAACATTCAAACTGTTTCATTTATGAATTGGATATATTTCTTTGCCGTAATCAACCTCAAACAAGCAGCAAATGTGAACACACCAGTATATTTCCTTGAACTCATAGAACCGCATAGAAGGACTCGTCAACTGAATACTCCTCTACAAACATTGTTATTCATACATACAAACACATGAAAATTGTGACAGAAACAAATAAGCAGCAATTCGATACGATACCACTCTAAACATTAAAATTATCCCCATACCAAAACCATCTTCTGGTACTGATATTAAATTTCGGCCTATTGCAATTACTTCTCCCTTTTTAAAATTGATGGAAAAACTGTTTTACTTCGTCTTGAACATTCATTGAAACCTTTTAATGATGCTAAACAATTTGCATACAAACATGGTAGAAGTACCTTGGATGCTGCGGTTGTCTTGTATCACAATGTTGTTTCTTGTTTAGGCAAAGGTGCTAAATATGTTCGTAGTGCTTTCTTAGACTACACTTCTGCTTTTGACTCTGTACCTAAGGGCCTTTTATTAAATAAGCTATCGTTGACACAAACAGGATCCTGGGCTAAGAGTTGGTTGCATTCCTATTTTTCTGATAGAATGCAGTAATCTGTATATAATGGCAAATCTTCATCTACCTCGCTTACCAAATCCGGTGTTCCTCAAGGTGCCGTCCTCTCTCCTTTTCTTTTTTCTTTCTTCCTACATGACCTGCTACATTCAAACGAAACTAACTTTGTCAAATATGCAGATGATCTGACTGTATCACTCACTCCCTATCACTTCCGAGTCTGACAGCTCCAAACCTAATAGCTTTCTGTTGGACATCAACAAGTGGTCTACGTCAAATGGTCTTATGCTAAATCCTCCCAAATGTCAGACAGCTGACTTTACTTTCAAGCATCGATGTGACTTGCATGAACTAGTTAGTTCGCATGATACCCGTAGCATAGATGGCACGGAAATTGAAACCAAGTCAAGCATTAAATACCTTGGATTAGTTCTTTCCTCTGACCTTTCATGGTCATCCCATATCTTATCTATCTCTAAGAAAATGTTTCGTCTTACCTTCTACATTAAAAAGTTAAGACAACCAGGTATCAACTAACCTTTAGTTTTGCAATTTTTAAACTCCTGTATTTTACCTATTGTACTCTATTGCTCTCCATTAGTCTTTCCTGGGCTTCTCAAAAAACATTATATCATATTACGAAGAGTATTAAATGCTGTGAGTAGGGCTTGTGGTATGCCACTGCATGAGCTCGCCAATATTATAGTCGAGAGGCATATAAATTCCTGTACGAAATAGGCAAAGGCTATACTGTCAGACCCTCTGCACCCCGTTTATTCACACCTATCCCCTTGTATCTCATCAGGTAGGACGAGAAGTCAATATAAAAAGTTATATGCTCGCACCATTAAGAACAGAAATTCTACAATACCCTATTTAGCCCGTACTTTATGTGATGAAGACTCTGTTAGACGTGAAACACATAAGTTACTATGTAATTAGCACAGTGAATCGACCCTTTCATCGTTCATCTTTCTGTATTTTATGGCGTCACACTTTCTGTCGTTTAATTATTACTCTGATATTTTATTTTACTTGGTATAACAATTATTACTACAATTTTATACTTTATGCATATTTTTCTCCGTATTGCATACAATATTTTGCTATCTAGCTGCTGCAACAATCGTTTTATTATTATTATGTAATGTGTATTTATAGTTATTTTTGTCGTTTTTGAGTAAATTAGATGCAATATTGTACTGCATGCTGAAAATTCCTTGCTGTATCATTGGTACTGTTTTTGGAATAAAGCAAAATTATTATTATTATTATTATTATTATATATACGATCTATAAGCGATGGATGAGTGACAGTCATCAAAGCACATATTAGAGTGCATGTAAATTGGAGTTATTATGGCAGAACTAGTTCAGCTATAAACCTCTAGATTTGATAATATTAATGAAATACAAGGTAACTCCGTAAAGATAAATAAACTGGACGTGTATAAACCCAACAGAACTAAACAACAAGATTTTAACCAAAGCAAATTCAAAAAACTCATCAGAGACGGTTAGAACACTCCTCACCGAGACTTATACTCAAAAAAGATTTCCGATTTACACACATCCTAAGAAAACTAAAATTATGTCAGATGAAGTAGTAATAACTATGATGGTGTAAAAATCATTGACAAGAGAAGAAGGAAGGCGAGGAATATTATACAGGTAGAATAAATGTATGCTGCCAAGAATGATTTAAGGTAACTCCTGTATCCTGTTGTATCCGGCCTGTTCAATCTGAATGCGCAGACCTCAGCAAAACCAAGAGCATTTCAATTATTGCCTTGCTCATTAATTGCCATAAGCCTTTTACTCAACGTCACCGTATGATCACAACTGAGGAGGTCTACACCAATTTATGAATTCAATGAAATACCTAACTTCTTCACAGTTGTTGATAATTTCAAGCTTAGTTCATAGCCTATTCCACTAACAAGGGTGTGCTTGATACCTTTTAACATCTTCAGTGGACATTACTTCTTAGACAAAGCGAAGAATCAGGTGAGGGGGCGTTTTGCGTACACTTATATCATTCAACTGCTATTTCTACTGACTTCCTTCTGAGCTCACTTAACAAATGAAAGTTCGTGTGATTCATTAGACATTAGTACCTTGTTGAACTACATAAACTGTCGAACCTCGTCAACTCAGGTAACCAGTTAGTGTTTGGTTGGTTTTACAGATGTTCATGTTCTTCACGTCCAAACGTATATTTCATTTTATCATCTTTCGGTTTATCACCAATGGTATCCTTCATTACATATCATAAATCAGTAATATCATTCCTATTATTATTATTATTCCAAAATACACCAGACACTCATTAATATTCTGTGTCAAAATAATCTACGATGCGCAAAATTCGAATTCACATTTTTACAAAGTTGCCTCAGACTGGCATAAAATATATTCACTAAGAAAGCCCAAATATGTGACTTCACATATGCACTTAGTCACATGAAGAGAGTAAATGAGTCATCTAATGAAGTGCGAATCATTTACCACTTGTATGATTCATTTTCACACTTATCACAAATGAACACACATCCAGGTATTTCAGTGTGTTGTCTAGGTTACCTCTATTCTTCAAAATCCACTCAGTATCATCGGCTTCGATCACTGATAATAAGACCTCTTGATCTCAAATGTTTTCGTTCTAGACAGAATAAATTCTTATACAACACTCACTTGAATGTAAATAGTCAATAAATATGAAGAATCACATCATTTCACATGCTAACTGCCTTCAAGGACACCACGAACAAGTGAGGAATTGATTTAGTTTGAAAACAAACCAGCCCTCAATGTCGTCAACCACAAATCAATAATTTTAGCTAATCACCATGTGCCTATGATGGGTTCATCTAAACAGGACTGCAGACAGCAAGATAGAGTGGAGATGTACTGTTCAGGCGATATAAGCCACTCGATACCCAAGAGAATAATAGTAAAAGTATTTAAATCGATGAATACATCTGGATTGTTTCGAAATATTCAAATAACCTAGCCATCTGATAAAACAGTGGGCTAAGAACATGAAAATTCATGATTTATAATTCATTAAAGCATTCAGGTGAGCATACGAAAAACAGAGGTGATGAAGATTCCTGGCCAACAGCAACAGGCAACAACAACAGACAACAATCTGCATAAATGGGAGAAATCTGAAAGAAGCAACCTCCTTTACCTACCAACCTACCTACATGCGAAGTGTCGTTTCAAATACAGGTGGACGGAAGTGACGAGGATATCAAAGCGAGGATCGGGAAAACAATGCAAGCTTTCATTTCTCTCATATCTCTGTGGAGATCAACAGCTCTCAGCAAGAAAAATAAGACCCGATTTTCGACTTCACTGTGGAGATAGTGCTATTACACAGATCAAAGACTTGGCATCGAGTTACGGACGGCACTTCGAACAAAGTACAAACCTTCATCAACAACTGTCTTCTCTCAATAACACTCAAGATCAGATGTCCGACCTGCAAATATCACCAACAGAGATATCTGGCAGTGAGCGAACCAACCAACCCAACAGGAACTGATTGTGCATCAAATATGCAGGAAGAAATGCAGTTTGGTGGATTGGCCATACTCTGAGGAAACAAACCATCAAGTGACGCCCATCACATGCCAGGCCATCACTCGAGTGGCACCTGAACAGGAAGCGGCGAGTTAGTTGGTCGTCAGTGCGAGGATGACATGGAGGAGGAGGTCATGTGAAGGGGAGATGATGAAAGAGTGTGGGCTGAGGTGAAGCCAGGTGAAAGTGTTGTCAGAGAAGCGACTGCGATGGAGACGTGAAGCTGAGGTCCTATTTTCTTCTACGAACTCAAAGTAAACAATAATGCAATAATAATAATAAAGCTTCCTGCCTCAGTACCTATCAATAGACTTACTGTTTATAAACACACCAACGTGTTAACAAATTCTACAAAATATCACGAAATTTATTTCATCAAAATATGGTCGTCCTGCAGTAATTGTCACCAGATTGTCCAATATTTTCCCCAGAATGAAGAACATTGCTACTGTCCATGTTAAACAGGTGGTCTCTCCATTAGTCACCAGACTCTGTCGGTCCAGGCTAATATCACATCGACTGATATCATATCGGCTGTCTTTCCACACGGAAATCTTCAGTCATTTCAATGATAGATGCGTTCTCATTTGACCTGGTCATTTTAAAGTATATTCAACAGTATGACTGATTCAGGAAACCCCATGTTCCTCTTTTAACCTATTTCCATTGTACCTGAAACTCTATCCAGTAGAGTTCATTTCCCATAAGATACATTCAACAAATAGTTTGCCTTCTTTAGTCAAATCCAAATAACCCGTCTAGGAAGTCATCTTGAAGCTCCTCAGACGAACTGCAATTCTATTTTTCCAGTTCAGCTCATTGTTGATTATCCATTATCACCTCGTGTATGCGATCTCGTCAGAGAGAATGGAATCCAATATTCTCCATCCACTCAGTTTACGCACACTTAAAATAATAACAAGTTGAACGCTATTGTGAAATTCAGATACATAAATCTTACAAATCACACTTCTTACTATTCATCACACCCAAATAAACCACATCTCATAAACAATTCCAGCAGTTCAGACGAGTAAACTAAATGCCTTTAATATGCAAACAACATATTCTACAAAGTAACAAGCAGCAGTTAGGAAGACATTGGTAAAACTCACCATCATTCTCAGACATCCGACGTCTCTGACGACGACGTAATCTGGCATTAGACAAACGTCGAGGGAGTGAATTCTCCTGAATCACCACACCACTTGAATTCCCTAAACACCCATCGAATTGTACTCCATCTTGTTGTGAACATTTGTGTGAAGTATCCGATGATGATTTCGCAGCGCTCCCATTCGATTCTCCTAAGAGATTATTCTCCTTTAATATATTGTGTTCTGACATGTCATTACCTTCTGATTTCCTTGATGGAAGAATAAACGAGTTCTTATCACCACTACCCAAGTTGTCTTTAACTGAAGTGACTTGTTTTGAATCTTTTAATATTGATCGTATATTTTCCTTAGGTATTTCCTTAGACTCACATTTTTCAGGCGTTTCCTCTTGTGGCTGAAAAATAAGAGTACCAGTAACAATTAAAATAGATCAGTATCTCTTAGTTAATACGGTGTTTACAAAACGTGAACTCTGATGGCTGTTAAGCGACGAAAACTAACTCATTCTTCGTGTTTAAAGTGATATAAGAAGGGAATCTGAGCACTGTGTTTGAGTATAACTCCATCAGAAGTGATTTCGGTTATTAGAAACACACAGTCTTGTTTAAAGATTTGAGTTTTTAACTATTGAACATTTGGAATCAGTTTACAACGCGAAACCACTTGAGTGATGGTAAAAATCTAATAGCACTCCTATCAAACACCTATCTACAATCTCCGACAATCCCACCAATATCAGTCTACATGTCAGTCTGTAGCAATCTGCTGAACACCTTTAGAAATTTCACTTCTGTTTGTAACAATTTCACATGAAACGTTTATTCCATACCTACAGCCTTGAAAGAATATCACAGCGTCGGTGCTACAGTGGTTAGGACTCTCGTCGACCATGCACATGGTCCGAGGTTCGATCCCCTGTCGACACACACCTGGTATATATGGTCGGCCTGCGAAATTCTAGGCTACCGATACCCATGCTGAAAATTCCATACTTATACCAAAAATACAGTCTGGAATCAAGCTGTAATCAAAAATAAAAAAATAAATACATTAAAGGTGAGCGCCAGATAGCATGAATATCAGACACAAGAGAAATATACTCCCAGTCTCATCCAAGCATTCAACATAAATAGCATTTTCATTATCGCTTTCCCGGCATTAACTACACTCTTTCATTTCTACTGTGTTTCACAAGCAACACTAACTGCAACAAATCGAGACTGAAGACGATAACATGTCGCATCAATAGCGGTACACACAACACTGTGATACAAGCATACGGAACTGCCCCGTTTCAGATGACTGGGCATTCCAGCACCTATCGTTTTACACTTGAATCCCAGTTCAAAACACGGCAGAGTTTTTTTTTCAAGACATCAGACACACTGCGAAGCAAACTTGTCCATATAAAAGACCAAATCCCTACAGGTTCTCCATCTAATTGTGCCTATAAAATAAAATGCTTGCTTGTAATATGATGCAATATACATCGGACAAACATCGCCAATGAGAAATCAAAATCAGAAGAAATGAACGCCGTAGACCATCTGCTCGACCATTGAGAAATCCAGTTGAACAAGAAAAGCTTGAAAAATCATCAGCTATAGGTGGTGGTCTACACGCTACGCCATAGAATCAGGCCAAAAAATGATTTTGACAATATTGGAATAATCCAGAAAAGCGTTTCAGAAATCACAAAGAACGTCTCACATCATCAGAAGCACTTCATATCAAATGGAATCTAAATTGTCTGAATAGGAATGACGGATTAAAACAGAATCTGATCTGGTTACAACACCTCCCTCCCCGCCCCCATGAAGTGACAAAATCAGCATGTTTGTGATAAGCAATTTCACTATGTAAACACACGCTGCTTTTATCATTTTACACACTGATCACATCCAACAATGTACACCTGGTTTTATTATCTTTACCGATTGGCCAATTTTACAACGCAAAAATGACCCCATGTTAAGGAGTGATGATAAAGTTGTTAAATATAAGCTGAGATTCTGCAAACTCTGGTTTAATAATACTTTGGTAAAGCTACTAGCATTAAATGGCGAAAGGCCAGTAAAAACAACAGTATCGTTTTGTTATTCATTCATTGGGAAATACAAAAAAACTTTATTAAAAGGAATATCATATAACCAATATTCACGTTTTTTCAAACTGTTAAATGTGAACTTGGTTTGGACATATAAGTCTGTATATGCAATATTTTGATATACAAGTTATGCAAGGAGACAGAGTATATCACATCACAAATGAACCACGCCTTAAAAGTTGAATATTTTATTGTCTAGACTTATGTGAAAATCCCACCCTTACACTCCAATGAATAAATAATGTAGTCTCACAGCAAATGTAACTGACATTTCATATCCATCACGAATTTCACCCACCTAGGGACGACTACTAAAAAAAACAAAAATTCAAGGCACTGACAATTTCAAGATTCCCTGGACTTCAAAGTAGAGGGAAGATAAACGGGGAAGGAAGAAGCGCTATTCACGTGCCTCGTCCCTCCCAATTTGACGCACTTCATTAATATGTGTACACAGATAAGGAAGGGACTGAGTTCAGGAATACCAGTTTGACATCTACGGATTCAGGATCCGCCGATATATTGATTGGTGAGAACATTTCACTCTAATCGGAAGATCCTGGCCACTTTGTCCAGTTTCAACTAAATTCATTACATCCCCTTCTAGGAACTTCAAGAAGAAGACAACTCCACAACTGAGGTTTCAAGAAAAGATAACTAATGCCAGTTCCTGTATTAAATCGCAAATTGAACAGAATTACCGCATTCACACAATCAGAGAGACACTTGCTGTCTGACGAATTTCACAAGTTACTATTGATTGTGAAAACATCGTTTATCGTATTCTGTTTTACTGATTGTTAGCACAGATTCCAAAAATCTAACAAGATGATGAAAATGTCACATAACATAATTTACAGACACACAGAAAGGAAACAGCCTGGAATACACCGAATTCGTCGCCAATTACCAACGATGAAGTCGTCACATAAAAATTAACTGAGTCAAGTATCATCGAAATCCACGAAGCATGCTGCATACCAAAGTGCCCAACGTGTTGTGTCTAGTCATCGACAAAGCCCTACGTCCTGTCAGTGCATATTTACAAATTCAAAATCCCCAGTGAACTCACTAATTTCGAATACGTACAGGGTTCGAGCATGAATGACTGTGTGGTAAATGATCCAACTAGACTACAAGGCGGTAAATATTTCCACCACTGCCGGTACACGAATACTCTCCCGTAGCTGCATATACGCCCTTGGAATGTGTGAAAATAAGTTCAAAGCCCATACTGAAGACATCCAGTTAATTGTAACTAACGTATCAACACTATATACGGTGTTCTTAATTCACTTGACATTCAGCCCAGAAGAAATGATACACAATTGATCAAGACATTTTGGCCAACAGTATACACTTTGAATTCATCACTTACAAACAACTAAAAGCGTTATCCACCAACAACTGGGGAAAAAGCATCATGATGTTTCAGCCAGACTTATCCTCATAATATAATTTAACACAAACACACACACACACAGTAGAAGTACCACTAGCAAGAATATTAGTAACAGCGAAGTATTCCTCGAATAGCCACTACCCAAATTCAGAACATAATCTCAGTAAACAGCGATTTCTGTTTACATAGATCGGATATAACATTCAACAGCAATAGCAGTCTACAAAATACAAGACCTCACCCACTCTCACATTCGAATTAGAAAACAGATAAAATTACCGAAGAGATTCAAGAAAATGTTGAACCAATCACAATCTGTAATAGACAAATAAAACCAGTCATGTTGGCACTTCCTCCATTTAAATCAATGTTGGTTGAGTCACACTCAGTCCACAAAAGAGTTTCAATCAGATTCCACCCACACAACAAAGTCCACACGGCAATAAACACCCGACCAGAGAATACCCAGACCTCGGTGTCAGGTAATCCAGGTCCTCCGACTCATGTGAGTGAATGTCAACTGCATATATGTTTACCAGCCAGCCAAAAGCTTGCCATTCTCGACTAACAACTCGAATGGAGTTTCACTAAGCAATCTACAAATTATGGATGGAGAATTTTGAACAGAGTCTCTTTTCGTGTCCGCCACAGAAAAGTTTTCTAGTTGTAAACTGACAGGAAATATGCTACATGCGTAAATTTCTCAACAGTTCAACGAGTATTTTGTGATATCATATCGCACAGATTCAGATATTGTGAATGTGTAGTAGAATTCTACAAATGCAATTTTGTCGAATACCCAAAAAGAACACAACATACGCGCATCTATCAAAAATGCCGTGGTCTACACGCAATCACACTGATAACACAATAAGACTGAGCAAGCAGGTCATTATCTAGCATGCACATGGCTGCATCCACATCTGTGCCTAGCTAGCATAAATATGTACATGACGAATATGCCACACTCAACATCTCCAACGCAGCGAGAGTGACTATAGAAAGACAACATTGATTGATATGAAAACAACTTAACCAAATGCGACAGCACACTTCGAAAATAAAATACAGGCAGGTTATTAATTAAATAAGATATTATAATAAAAGTAGACGTAGAGCGTCCGAACCACTTCAGTCTATTCTGAGTCACGTCACACATAGTTTCTGAACACAGATAATTGGGTCTACATCTTCAATATCCAATCAATTCAAGCGAATTAAACAGGAAAACCATCACCGGTGAAATAACATTCAAACACAATAAATGATCACTTACCGCTTTCACATGCTTCACTTCAATTTCAGTTTTCTCTGTCACCGCTTTTAGTCCACTCGACGACCCACTGGATACCACTGAGTCATTCCTCTTGTATTCAACACTCTGATGGCTGGTTTGTTCTTCATCTTCAAAGCTTGAATGACTCCACAAATTGGTACTGTCACAAGTAAAAAATGCACTTTCAATTAGAACATCTATTCACTCAAAACAATATCTACATTGGATGATTTTGTTGCATCAACATGATTAGCATCAAGCGAGATTAGCTCCAAATTCACTTTCATGATCTCGGTTAACGTTAATGTGTATAAGTTAAACAATACTTTTAACTAGGACCTAGATTTCTAACTTCCGAAGGAAACTTGAAACAGTTAGCAGGCGAATCATCGATACCTACACAGTGTTTATTCACAGAAGACGTTCACTGCGATTTCAAGTAACAGACTATCTCAATAGACTTAGTACACCGTCACATTAGCGGTTCGAAGGATATTGTCTCGGTTAATCTTATCATCGTCGCTTCCTTCTCAGTTTCCACTATCATTCCATAGCGTAAATACTTATTTACAAAACAGAGGATGTATCAGGGAAACCTGATACCTGATAACAGTCACTCTACCTGCTAACAGTAATAAAAATAGTCTATCAGCAACTTCGAATTGGAATGCATTTTAGAAGGATAAATATTTTTACATGAAATTGGTAGTCTTTATGATCACGAATGAAGGGATTAGTCGCTGAAGCGTAGGCATAGAATTAAGGCATTCCGATGGAATATAATTCCATATTAGATTTGTTTGATATAAACGATGTGGTGTCAAAAACTGAACGATGTTTAGAGATCAATTTACTGCTCATGACCACATCAATGTATCCTGGACGTCCTTACTTGCTTCGTAGAATTCTACTCCCAACTGTAGAGACATACAAAAACTCACACTGAAAAAGGGCGTTCTCTCTCTAAGAAAACAAACAATGTCGTATGACGAAGACAAGATTTAGAGAGAAGAAACGGCCCTGTCCTATTGAAATCCATGCTAGTTTCTCAATGTTGGCGAAAACCTCGCGAAGAAACCTACTCGTCAGTATAAAGTGCATCATAAAAATACCTCAGTCTCATCACAATGTTTGCTCAGTCAAATTAACGTGTAATGACAAAAGCTCATTCTTACTGCGTTTCAAATTATAAATGGTTTCGACATGATACGAAAGACATAGATAATTGACGCAACTGAAAATGTATTACTCACAAATATAACATTTAACACTGTCATTAATCGGCTGATAGTTAACTTACCGGTCTTTGGTAGCCTCAAGAAAGAGAATGATATGTTTTCTGATAAATGGATTAGCCAAAACCCGCCTTGCTGATGGTCGTTTCTCAGGTTTCAAGTGCAGCATCGTGCGCATGAGTTCTAAGAGTTCTGGGCTGTATTGAGTGGGCATATCGGGTATCTAATTCAAACTATAAAGTTTTTTTCGTTTCAACTAACTTTTCCGCTTAGAATTTTGTATGACAGTGCATTAAAATTTTTCGCGTTAAAGGCATGACGAAGTGTAGTCATTTCATACAAAACACAACCCAATGCCCATATGTCAGACTAAAAATTAAAACTTTTACATATTTTACCTTGTGGTTATAAGGCTTGTTGGCGAAAAGCTCTGGAGACATATAATACGGAGTCCCAATCAGTGTTGTGGCCATAGAACTAGAGGACTCTAGCACCCTATAGTTGAGAAGTCGAGCAATTTTATTCTCACCTGGCTATTCCGAGATCACCAAGTTTCACTATATTTGTACGTGTTAGGAATATATTTCGGGTTTTCAAGTCTCTATGCAAAACATTTCTTTCGTGCATATACTATAAAATACTACTTAAATATCAGTGAGTCAGCCTACTTGCAGAGCGATGGCCAGCTGAACAAACCACTCAACTAAGAGACGTTCAGGCAGAAGGCTTCCGTTTCTCATCCTTAGTCTTGTATATAAATCACCGCCTTCACAAAATCCCATTGCAATATACAAAAAACCTTGATATTCGAAGGAGGCTTTATATTGCACTATGTTAGGATGTTTAAATTCAGAAAGGAGTTTGCACTCAAGCTTGGCCGCCTTCCTTTCTTTGTCAGAAGATTTTGTCACATCTATTTTCTTAATAACATACTTTTATTTATTATAAAAACCTTAAACAACTAGGTTACATGCTTCCTGTCAACATTATGCCTACACAGCCAAACTTCTCCATAGGATCCTTTCCCAATAGTCTTTATAAATTGGTATTCCGTAATAGGCAATTCTGATAGGCCCGGTTCCATCACTTTGAATAAACGCGCAACATACAGACGCTTTGTCACTAGTCTTTCAGTAACTATAACAAATGAAATATCATTATCTCACACGATTTATTATTCCTGTTGAAATTAGCGATTACTCATAGGATTCTGACTTGTTTTAATCTCATCCTGTTGGCACACTTTGGAATCATGACATGATTAGATCTATAATTGTAGCAATATTATGAGAATAATCTATTTACTCAACGGTTGACGACAGTGTCTTTAAGGGTTCTGCTTTTCGAGTGAATCCACACATAGTGTCAGCTAACACTTCACACTCCCCATTCAGGTCTGCACACCGATCCCAGATTAAGAGCTTAATCTCAGATAATAAGAACTGCTTTAGATAATCTCCGCAAATACTCCTTTCAATGCCCAATATATTTGTGGAGGGCTTGTGCAAGCCCTTTGATGTCTTGACGCTCTCTCCTCCTGTTCTGGAGCGGCTATAGGTTTTTGGTGGCTTCCAGCGCGTCGAATCTATCCTCTCGACTTCCATATTCCTGCAGAACTCAGCTTCGAAGGGATCTTATGATTTGTGGTGGGCTCGTGTCTCTTCCTCGGATCTGCGGATATCACTACCCTTCCTTAGAGTTGGAAGAGTAATGTTTTCTCACCTTTGTTGTCAGACTTTACAAGCTGGATACGCTGCTGTTCGAAATTAAAGTTGCATGGACTGGAACAAATGTTTGACTCGCAATCTTCCACACCGTTCTGTCTTTTAGGAGAAACTTTACAACATCTGTGGCGAATGATACAGAACCTGGCCGATTCAGGCCCTGAAAAATGTTACCCGTATTTGTCAAATCAAGTGAACTCTCTTAGCTGAGGATACCGTTTTGTGGTGCTGATTGGCAGGCCATGTGATGGAACCCGAATCGGAAATAGTGGTTTGGGCATCCATTGATGACATGGAGACCATGTGACTGAGAGGTGAAAGCTTGTGGGCTGTCTTACACCCCGATGGAAATGAAGGCAGGGATCCGTCATGACAGTGATCTGTCATGAGCATGAACGAGACTGCTCATCATCAGAGTGTCTCATGTTCACTTTTGTTCACTTGTATCGTTAATGATCGTTGTGCTTATAAGATGTTTGATCCTTTTTACATGGCCTTTCCTCGGTGCTCTACAGCTCAAAATTTAAAAATGATTTTGGATCATAATCTCAGACAAATACTGGTGATAGTTGGAATCTAATAAAGAAATAATAATAATTGAGGTGTATCGGTTCTCAATGACTAGGCTGTCGGGTGATATCGCCTTCTTGGCCATGGCTCGAATGGAACCCCGTTGGGAGATGACAAGTTGGCCTTGTGTCCAATAGTGAAGCTCATTGACATTTGTGGGAACAGAGTCGGAGGACCGAAGAGGTTAGAAAAGTTCACATATATTTTCTATTTTGTACATGAGGGACGCCAGTTTACAAGCATCATCAATTCGATAAAATGCACATACGATTATTAATCACAATTAGTCATGACAATATAATGAGGTTCATATTTTTTACTAGGTATTTAGGATATACCAGGCGTATAGACATGCATAAGTATTGTTTTAAATTACATGATATAAGGTTGCTGTCATTTTGCCTTTATTTTGTGGGAAAAATCTGATAACTAGTGATTCAATGGACCACATCAAGAGATATAGATATATTGACTTCGCATTAAAATAATACCCAATTATTCGTTGGACGGATTACAGATACTTGGGAAAATAAATAAAGCTTGTATTCAAATCCCGAATATAATAATAAAATGAGTCTTATAATAATGTACTGTATTTTATTACACATGAGGGACTGCAGTTGACAGGCATCATCAATATGGTAATAATGTACACATGCAGTAAGCATTTTTTAAAATTTTTCACTGACATAAGGTATATATATACAAGAGAGGAAAATAGAATAATGATAGTGTATATTTAGGTCTACTTTCATGTTGCTCTTTTGATTTACAATAAATTGGCATTTTCCAGCCAGGTTTTTCCTTAGGAATGCGGTTACCACTTTTTGCTTCACAATTTTACCAGAGCATAAACGAAATTTAATTCATTCTCAAATCCGCCTCTGCAATTATAAATCTCCTAAATATTACGTCTTCAATTTCGTGCGGCGACAGGGGGATGACATTGAAGGTTTCACAGATGTAGGCTATAACTATAATTAGTGAGTTTAACAGAGGTCTTTTTCCATGTTGAAGCCGGATTACTAACAACTCTCTTCGAATTACCTGCTACGCCCAAAAGTTCATCACTACAATAGATTTTTCGGTGTGGATGGGTCTTTTATCAACAAATACATCTACTTATAACAAGAGACGAGAGAAATGTGGGCACAAAAAAATATTCACTTAATTGAACTCTTCCAAATATGTTGTTTATGTGTACTACAAGAGTTGCTTTTCTGCACAAATGGAACTAGATAGATGATTTGAGCTAACATTTACGCAGGAAACATAAATATTGTGTGTTGTCGCGCATGCGAACAAAATAGCGAAGGGCACAAAAATGAAGGGGGTTATCAGCATACGCCGTCAGACTCGTCTTATTTGGGTGTAATGCACGATGTTTAGTTAACCCAAAAGGAGGAACGAAACAACAAATACACATTCTAAGCATCCTGATCAACATGTTAGAACTGAAAACGCAAGGCAGAGAGAACTAAATTACACAGAATGAAATTATATGTTAGTTGAGTCAGAAGTGGTTTGAGAGATCGAATAAAGTAGTACATATAGGAGGTAAAATGTTTCACGGATCTGTGTATGGCCCACCTTCACAGGAAGATAAGCAGACTTGTAGAAGCTAGGGAATGAGAAATTATTTCTTTATTAGATTCCAACTATCACCAGTATTTGTCTGAGATTATGATCCAAAATCATTTTTAAATTTTGAGCTGTAGAGCACCGAGGAAAGGCCATGTAAAAAGGATCAAACATCTTATAAGCACAACGATCATTAACGATACAAGTGAACAAAAGTGAACATGAGACACTCTGATGATGAGCAGTCTCGTTCATGCTCATGACAGATCACTGTCATGACGGATCCCTGCCTTCATTTCCATCGGGGTGTAAGACAGCCCACAAGCTTTCACCTCTCAGTCACATGGTCTCCATGTCATCAATGGATGCCCAAACCACTATTTCCGATTCGGGTTCCATCACATGGCCTGCCAATCAGCACCACAAAACGGTATCCTCAGCTAAGAGAGTTCACTTGATTTGACAAATACGGGTAACATTTTTCAGGGCCTGAATCGGCCAGGTTCTGTATCATTCGCCACAGATGTTGTAAAGTTTCTCCTAAAAGACAGAACGGTGTGGAAGATTGCGAGTCAAACATTTGTTCCAGTCCATGCAACTTTAATTTCGAACAGCAGCGTATCCAGCTTGTAAAGTCTGACAACAAAGGTGAGAAAACATTACTCTTCCAACTCTAAGGAAGGGTAGTGATATCCGCAGATCCGAGGAAGAGACACGAGCCCACCACAAATCATAAGATCCCTTCGAAGCTGAGTTCTGCAGGAATATGGAAGTCGAGAGGATAGATTCGACGCGCTGGAAGCCACCAAAAACCTATAGCCGCTCCAGAACAGGAGGAGAGAGCGTCAAGACATCAAAGGGCTTGCACAAGCCCTCCACAAATATATTGGGCATTGAAAGGAGTATTTGCGGAGATTATCTAAAGCAGTTCTTATTATCTGAGATTAAGCTCTTAATCTGGGATCGGTGTGCAGACCTGAATGGGGAGTGTGAAGTGTTAGCTGACACTATGTGTGGATTCACTCGAAAAGCAGAACCCTTAAAGACACTGTCGTCAACCGTTGAGTAAATAGATTATTCTCATAATATTGCTACAATTATAGATCTAATCATGTCATGATTCCAAAGTGTGCCAACAGGATGAGATTAAAACAAGTCAGAATCCTATGAGTAATCGCTAATTTCAACAGGAATAATAAATCGTGTGAGATAATGATATTTCATTTGTTATAGTTACTGAAAGACTAGTGACAAAGCGTCTGTATGTTGCGCGTTTATTCAAAGTGATGGAACCGGGCCTATCAGAATTGCCTATTACGGAATACCAATTTATAAAGACTATTGGGAAAGGATCCTATGGAGAAGTTTGGCTGTGTAGGCATAATGTTGACAGGAAGCATGTAACCTAGTTGTTTAAGGTTTTTATAATAAATAAAAGTATGTTATTAAGAAAATAGATGTGACAAAATCTTCTGACAAAGAAAGGAAGGCGGCCAAGCTTGAGTGCAAACTCCTTTCTGAATTTAAACATCCTAACATAGTGCAATATAAAGCCTCCTTCGAATATCAAGGTTTTTTGTATATTGCAATGGGATTTTGTGAAGGCGGTGATTTATATACAAGACTAAGGATGAGAAACGGAAGCCTTCTGCCTGAACGTCTCTTAGTTGAGTGGTTTGTTCAGCTGGCCATCGCTCTGCAAGTAGGCTGACTCACTGATATTTAAGTAGTATTTTATAGTATATGCACGAAAGAAATGTTTTGCATAGAGACTTGAAAACCCGAAATATATTCCTAACACGTACAAATATAGTGAAACTTGGTGATCTCGGAATAGCCAGGTGAGAATAAAATTGCTCGACTTCTCAACTATAGGGTGCTAGAGTCCTCTAGTTCTATGGCCACAACACTGATTGGGACTCCGTATTATATGTCTCCAGAGCTTTTCGCCAACAAGCCTTATAACCACAAGGTAAAATATGTAAAAGTTTTAATTTTTAGTCTGACATATGGGCATTGGGTTGTGTTTTGTATGAAATGACTACACTTCGTCATGCCTTTAACGCGAAAAATTTTAATGCACTGTCATACAAAATTCTAAGCGGAAAAGTTAGTTGAAACGAAAAAAACTTTATAGTTTGAATTAGATACCCGATATGCCCACTCAATACAGCCCAGAACTCTTAGAACTCATGCGCACGATGCTGCACTTGAAACCTGAGAAACGACCATCAGCAAGGCGGGTTTTGGCTAATCCATTTATCAGAAAACATATCATTCTCTTTCTTGAGGCTACCAAAGACCGGTAAGTTAACTATCAGCCGATTAATGACAGTGTTAAATGTTATATTTGTGAGTAATACATTTTCAGTTGCGTCAATTATCTATGTCTTTCGTATCATGTCGAAACCATTTATAATTTGAAACGCAGTAAGAATGAGCTTTTGTCATTACACGTTAATTTGACTGAGCAAACATTGTGATGAGACTGAGGTATTTTTATGATGCACTTTATACTGACGAGTAGGTTTCTTCGCGAGGTTTTCGCCAACATTGAGAAACTAGCATGGATTTCAATAGGACAGGGCCGTTTCTTCTCTCTAAATCTTGTCTTCGTCATACGACATTGTTTGTTTTCTTAGAGAGAGAACGCCCTTTTTCAGTGTGAGTTTTTGTATGTCTCTACAGTTGGGAGTAGAATTCTACGAAGCAAGTAAGGACGTCCAGGATACATTGATGTGGTCATGAGCAGTAAATTGATCTCTAAACATCGTTCAGTTTTTGACACCACATCGTTTATATCAAACAAATCTAATATGGAATTATATTCCATCGGAATGCCTTAATTCTATGCCTACGCTTCAGCGACTAATCCCTTCATTCGTGATCATAAAGACTACCAATTTCATGTAAAAATATTTATCCTTCTAAAATGCATTCCAATTCGAAGTTGCTGATAGACTATTTTTATTACTGTTAGCAGGTAGAGTGACTGTTATCAGGTATCAGGTTTCCCTGATACATCCTCTGTTTTGTAAATAAGTATTTACGCTATGGAATGATAGTGGAAACTGAGAAGGAAGCGACGATGATAAGATTAACCGAGACAATATCCTTCGAACCGCTAATGTGACGGTGTACTAAGTCTATTGAGATAGTCTGTTACTTGAAATCGCAGTGAACGTCTTCTGTGAATAAACACTGTGTAGGTATCGATGATTCGCCTGCTAACTGTTTCAAGTTTCCTTCGGAAGTTAGAAATCTAGGTCCTAGTTAAAAGTATTGTTTAACTTATACACATTAACGTTAACCGAGATCATGAAAGTGAATTTGGAGCTAATCTCGCTTGATGCTAATCATGTTGATGCAACAAAATCATCCAATGTAGATATTGTTTTGAGTGAATAGATGTTCTAATTGAAAGTGCATTTTTTACTTGTGACAGTACCAATTTGTGGAGTCATTCAAGCTTTGAAGATGAAGAACAAACCAGCCATCAGAGTGTTGAATACAAGAGGAATGACTCAGTGGTATCCAGTGGGTCGTCGAGTGGACTAAAAGCGGTGACAGAGAAAACTGAAATTGAAGTGAAGCATGTGAAAGCGGTAAGTGATCATTTATTGTGTTTGAATGTTATTTCACCGGTGATGGTTTTCCTGTTTAATTCGCTTGAATTGATTGGATATTGAAGATGTAGACCCAATTATCTGTGTTCAGAAACTATGTGTGACGTGACTCAGAATAGACTGAAGTGGTTCGGACGCTCTACGTCTACTTTTATTATAATATCTTATTTAATTAATAACCTGCCTGTATTTTATTTTCGAAGTGTGCTGTCGCATTTGGTTAAGTTGTTTTCATATCAATCAATGTTGTCTTTCTATAGTCACTCTCGCTGCGTTGGAGATGTTGAGTGTGACATGTTCGTCATGTACATATTTATGCTAGCTAGGCACAGATGTGGATGCAGCCATGTGCATGCTAGATAATGACCTGCTTGCTCAGTCTTATTGTGTTATCAGTGTGATTGCGTGTAGACCACGGCATTTTTGATAGATGCGCGTATGTTGTGTTCTTTTTGGGTATTCGACAAAATTGCATTTGTAGAATTCTACTACACATTCACAATATCTGAATCTGTGCGATATGATATCACAAAATACTCGTTGAACTGTTGAGAAATTTACGCATGTAGCATATTTCCTGTCAGTTTACAACTAGAAAACTTTTCTGTGGCGGACTCGAAAAGAGACTCTGTTCAAAATTCTCCATCCATAATTTGTAGATTGCTTAGTGAAACTCCATTCGAGTTGTTAGTCGAGAATGGCAAGCTTTTGGCTGGCTGGTAAACATATATGCAGTTGACATTCACTCACATGAGTCGGAGGACCTGGATTACCTGACACCGAGGTCTGGGTATTCTCTGGTCGGGTGTTTATTGCCGTGTGGACTTTGTTGTGTGGGTGGAATCTGATTGAAACTCTTTTGTGGACTGAGTGTGACTCAACCAACATTGATTTAAATGGAGGAAGTGCCAACATGACTGGTTTTATTTGTCTATTACAGATTGTGATTGGTTCAACATTTTCTTGAATCTCTTCGGTAATTTTATCTGTTTTCTAATTCGAATGTGAGAGTGGGTGAGGTCTTGTATTTTGTAGACTGCTATTGCTGTTGAATGTTATATCCGATCTATGTAAACAGAAATCGCTGTTTACTGAGATTATGTTCTGAATTTGGGTAGTGGCTATTCGAGGAATACTTCGCTGTTACTAATATTCTTGCTAGTGGTACTTCTACTGTGTGTGTGTGTGTTTGTGTTAAATTATATTATGAGGATAAGTCTGGCTGAAACATCATGATGCTTTTTCCCCAGTTGTTGGTGGATAACGCTTTTAGTTGTTTGTAAGTGATGAATTCAAAGTGTATACTGTTGGCCAAAATGTCTTGATCAATTGTGTATCATTTCTTCTGGGCTGAATGTCAAGTGAATTAAGAACACCGTATATAGTGTTGATACGTTAGTTACAATTAACTGGATGTCTTCAGTATGGGCTTTGAACTTATTTTCACACATTCCAAGGGCGTATATGCAGCTACGGGAGAGTATTCGTGTACCGGCAGTGGTGGAAATATTTACCGCCTTGTAGTCTAGTTGGATCATTTACCACACAGTCATTCATGCTCGAACCCTGTACGTATTCGAAATTAGTGAGTTCACTGGGGATTTTGAATTTGTAAATATGCACTGACAGGACGTAGGGCTTTGTCGATGACTAGACACAACACGTTGGGCACTTTGGTATGCAGCATGCTTCGTGGATTTCGATGATACTTGACTCAGTTAATTTTTATGTGACGACTTCATCGTTGGTAATTGGCGACGAATTCGGTGTATTCCAGGCTGTTTCCTTTCTGTGTGTCTGTAAATTATGTTATGTGACATTTTCATCATCTTGTTAGATTTTTGGAATCTGTGCTAACAATCAGTAAAACAGAATACGATAAACGATGTTTTCACAATCAATAGTAACTTGTGAAATTCGTCAGACAGCAAGTGTCTCTCTGATTGTGTGAATGCGGTAATTCTGTTCAATTTGCGATTTAATACAGGAACTGGCATTAGTTATCTTTTCTTGAAACCTCAGTTGTGGAGTTGTCTTCTTCTTGAAGTTCCTAGAAGGGGATGTAATGAATTTAGTTGAAACTGGACAAAGTGGCCAGGATCTTCCGATTAGAGTGAAATGTTCTCACCAATCAATATATCGGCGGATCCTGAATCCGTAGATGTCAAACTGGTATTCCTGAACTCAGTCCCTTCCTTATCTGTGTACACATATTAATGAAGTGCGTCAAATTGGGAGGGACGAGGCACGTGAATAGCGCTTCTTCCTTCCCCGTTTATCTTCCCTCTACTTTGAAGTCCAGGGAATCTTGAAATTGTCAGTGCCTTGAATTTTTGTTTTTTTTAGTAGTCGTCCCTAGGTGGGTGAAATTCGTGATGGATATGAAATGTCAGTTACATTTGCTGTGAGACTACATTATTTATTCATTGGAGTGTAAGGGTGGGATTTTCACATAAGTCTAGACAATAAAATATTCAACTTTTAAGGCGTGGTTCATTTGTGATGTGATATACTCTGTCTCCTTGCATAACTTGTATATCAAAATATTGCATATACAGACTTATATGTCCAAACCAAGTTCACATTTAACAGTTTGAAAAAACGTGAATATTGGTTATATGATATTCCTTTTAATAAAGTTTTTTTGTATTTCCCAATGAATGAATAACAAAACGATACTGTTGTTTTTACTGGCCTTTCGCCATTTAATGCTAGTAGCTTTACCAAAGTATTATTAAACCAGAGTTTGCAGAATCTCAGCTTATATTTAACAACTTTATCATCACTCCTTAACATGGGGTCATTTTTGCGTTGTAAAATTGGCCAATCGGTAAAGATAATAAAACCAGGTGTACATTGTTGGATGTGATCAGTGTGTAAAATGATAAAAGCAGCGTGTGTTTACATAGTGAAATTGCTTATCACAAACATGCTGATTTTGTCACTTCATGGGGGCGGGGAGGGAGGTGTTGTAACCAGATCAGATTCTGTTTTAATCCGTCATTCCTATTCAGACAATTTAGATTCCATTTGATATGAAGTGCTTCTGATGATGTGAGACGTTCTTTGTGATTTCTGAAACGCTTTTCTGGATTATTCCAATATTGTCAAAATCATTTTTTGGCCTGATTCTATGGCGTAGCGTGTAGACCACCACCTATAGCTGGTGATTTTTCAAGCTTTTCTTGTTCAACTGGATTTCTCAATGGTCGAGCAGATGGTCTACGGCGTTCATTTCTTCTGATTTTGATTTCTCATTGGCGATGTTTGTCCGATGTATATTGCATCATATTACAAGCAAGCATTTCATTTTATAGACACAATTAGATGGAGAACCTGTAGGGATTTGGTCTTTTATATGGACAAGTTTGCTTCGCAGTGTGCCTGATATTTTGAAAAAAAAACTCTGCCGTGTTTTGAACTGGGATTCAAGTGTAAAACGATAGGTGCTGGAATGCCCAGTCATCTGAAACGGGGCAGTTCCGTATGCTTGTATCACAGTGTTGTGTGTACCGCTATTGATGCGACATGTTATCGTCTTCAGTCTCGATTTGTTGCAGTTAGTGTTGCTTGTGAAACACAGTAGAAATGAAAGAGTGTAGTTAATGCCAGGAAAGCGATAATGAAAATGCTATTTATGTTGAATGCTTGGATGAGACTGGGAGTATATTTCTCTTGTGTCTGATATTCATGCTATCTGGCGCTCACCTTTAATGTATTTATTTTTTTTATTTTTGATTACAGCTTGATTCCAGACTGTATTTTTGGTATAAGTATGGGATTTTCAGCATGGATATCGGCAGCCCAAAATTTCGCAGGCCGACCATATATACCAGGTGTGTGTCGACAGGGGATCGAACCTCGGACCATGTGCATGGTCGATGAGAGTCCTAACCACTGTAGCACCGACGCTGTGATATTCTTTCAAGGCTGTAGGTATGGAATAAACGTTTCATGTGAAATTGTTACAAACAGAAGTGAAATTTCTAAAGGTGTTCAGCAGATTGCTACAGACTGGCATGTAGACTGATATTGGTGGGATTGTCGGAGATCGTAGATAGGTGTTTGATAGGAGTGCTATTAGATTTTGACCATCACTCAAGTGGTTCCGCGTTGTAAACTGATTCCAAATGTTCAATACTTAAAAACTCAAATCTTTAAACAAGACTGTGTGTTTCTAATAACCGAAATCACTTCTGATGGAGTTATACTCAAACACAGTGCTCAGATTCCCTTCTTATATCACTTTAAACACGAAGAATGAGTTAATTTTCGTCGCTTTAACTAAATAGCTATCAGAGTTCACTTTTGGTAAACACCATGTTAACTAAGAGATACTGATCTATTTTAATTGTTACTGGTACTCTTATTTTTCAGCCACAAGAGGAAACGCCTGAAAAATGTGAGTCTAAGGAAATACCTAAGGAAAATATACGATCAATATTAAAAGATTCAAAACAAGTCATTTCAGTTAAAGACAACTTGGGTAGTGGTGATAAGAACTCGTTTATTCTTCCATCAAGGAAATCAGAAGGTAATGACATGTCAGAACACAATATACTGAAGGAGAATAATCCTTAGGAGAATCGAATGGGAGCGCTGCGAAATCATCATCGGATACTTCACACAAGTGTTCACAACAAGATGGAGTACAATTCGATGGGTGTTTAGTGAAGTCAAGTGGTGTGGTGATTCAGGAGAATTCACTCCCTCGACGTTTGTCTAATGCCAGATTACGTCGTCGACAGAGACGTCGGATGTCTGAGAATGATGGTGAGTTTTACCAATGTCTTCCTAACTGCTGCTTGTTACTTTGTAGAATATGTTGTTTGCATATTAAAGGCATTTAGTTTACTCGTCTGAACTGCTGGAATTGTTTATGAGATGTGGTTTATTTGGGTGTGATGAATAGTAAGAAGTGTGATTTGTAAGATTTATTTATCTGAATTTCACAATAGCGTTCAACTTGTTATTATTTTACCTGTGCGTAAACTGAGTGGATGGAGAATATTGGATTCCATTCTCTCTCACGAGATCGCATACACGAGGTGATAATGGATAATCAACAATGAGCTGAACTGGAAGAATAGAATTGCAGTTCGTCTGAGAGCTTCAAGATGACTTCCTAGACGGGTTATTTGGATTTGACTAAAGAAGGCAAACTATTTGTTGAATGTATCTTATGGGAAATGAACTCTACTGGATAGAGTTTCAGGTACAATGGAAATAGGTTAAAAGAGGAAAATGGGGTTTTCTGAATCAGTCATACTGTTGAGTATACTTTAAAATGACCAGGTCAAATGAGAACGCATCTATCATTGAAATGACTGAAGATTTCCGTGTGGAAAGACAGCCGATATGACATCAGTCGATGTGATGTTAGCCTGGACCGACAGAGTCTGGTGACTGATGGAGAGACCACCTGTTTAACATGGACAGTAGCAATGTTCTTCATTCTGGGGAAAATATTGGACAATCTGGTGACAATTACTGCAGGACGACCATATTTTGATGAAATAAATTTCGTGATATTTTGTAGAATTTGTTAACACGTTGGTGTGTTTATAAACAGTAAGTCTATTGATAGGTACTGAGGCATAAAGCTTTATTATTATTATTATTATTGCATTATTGCTTTCTTTGAGTTCGTAGAAGAAAACAGGGCTCCAGCCACACGTCTCCATCGCAGTCGCTTCTCTGACAACACTTTCCCCTGGCTTCACCTCCGCCCACATGCTTTCATAATCTCCCCTTCACATGAACTCCTCCTCCATGTCATCCTCGCACTGACGACCAACTAACTCGCCGCTTCCTGTTCAGGTGTCACTCGAGTGATGACCTGGCATTTGATGGGCGTCACTTGATGGTTTGTTTCCTCAGAGTATGGCCAAACCACCAAACTGCATTTCTTCCTGAATATTTGATGCACAGTCAGTTCCTGTTGGGTTGGTTGGTTCGCTCACTGCCAGATATCTCTGTTGGTGATTTTGCTGGCCGGCCATCTGATCTTGAGTGTTATTGAGAGAAGACAGTTGTTGATGAAGGTTTGTACTTTGTTCGAAGTGCCGTCCGTAACTCGGAGCCAAGTCTTTGATCTGTGTAATAGCACTATCTCCACAGTGAAGTTGAAAATCGGGTCTTATTTTTCTTGCTGACAGCTGTTGATCTCTACACAGACATGAGAGAAATGAAAGCTTGCATTGTTTTCCCGATCCTCGTTTTGATATCTTCGTCACTTTCGTCCACCTGTATTTGAAACGATGCTTCGCATGTAGGTAGGTTGGTGAGTAAAGGAGGTTGCTTCTTTCAGATTTCTCCCATTTATGCAGATTGTTGTCTGTTATTGTTGCCTGTTGCTGTTGGCCAGGAATCTTCATCACCTCTGTTTTCCGTATGCTCACCTGAATGCTTTAATGAATTATAAATCATGAATTGTCATGTTCTTAGCCCACTGTTTTATCAGATGGCTAGGTTATCTGAATATTTCGAAATAATCCCTATGTATTCATCGATTTAAATACTTTTACTATTATTCCTTTGGGTATCGAGTGGATCATATCGCCTGAACAGTACATCTCCACTCTGTCTTGCTGTCTGCAGTCCTGTTTAGATGAACCCATCATAGGCACATGGTGATTAGCTAAAATTATTGATTTGTGGATGATGACATTGAGGGCTGGTTTGTTTTCAAACTAAATCAATTCCTCACTTGCTCGTGGTGTCCTTGAAGGCGGTTGGCATGTGAAATGATGTGATTCTTCATATTTATTGACTATTTACATTCAAGTGAGTGGTGTATAAGAATTTATTCTGTCTAGAACGAAAACATTTCAGATCAACAGGTCTTATTATCAGTGATCGAAGCCGATGATACTGAGTGGATTTTGAAGAATAGAGGTAACCTAGACAACACACTGAAATACCTGGATGTGTGTTCATTTGTGATAAGTGTGAAAATGAATCATACAGGTGGTAAATGATTCGTACTTCATTAGATGACTCATTTACTCTCTTCATGTGACTAAGTGAACATGTGAAGTCACATATTTGGGCCTTCTTAGTGAATATATTTTATACCAGTCCGAGGCAACTTTGTAAAAATGTGAATTCGAATTTTGCGCATCGTAGATTATTTTGACACAGAATATTAATGAGTGTCTGGTGTATTTTGGAATAATAATAATAATAGGAATGATATTACTGATTTATGATATGTAATGAAGGATACCATTGGTGATAAACCTAAAGATGATAAAATGAAATATACGTTTGGATGTGAACAATATGAACATCTGTAAAACCAACCAAACACTAACTGGTTACCTGAGTTGACGAGGTTCAACAGTTTATGTAGTTCAACAAGGTACTAATGTCTAATGAATCACACGAACTTTCATTTGTTAAGTGAGCTCAGAAGGAAGTCAGTAGAAATAGCAGTTGAATGATATAAGTGTACGCAAAACGCCCCCTCACCTGATTCTTCGCTTTTTCTAAGAAGTAATGTCCACTGAAGATGTTAAAAGGTATCAAGCACACCCTCGTTAGTGGAATAGGCTATGAACTAAGCTTGAAATAATCAACAACTGTGAAGAAGTTTGGTATTTCATTGAATTCATAAATTGGTGTAGACCTCCTCAGTTGTGATCATACGGTGACGTTGAGTAAAAGGCTTATGGCAATTAATGAGCAAGGTAATAATTAAAATGCTCTTGGTTTGCTGAGGTCTGCGCATTCAGATTGAACAGGCCGGATACAACAGGGACAGGAGTTACCTTGAATCAGTCTTGGCAGCATACATTTATTCTACCTTTATAATATTCCTCGCCTTCCTTCTTCTCTTGTCAATGATTTTTACACCATCATAGTTATTACTACTTCATCTGACATAATTTTAGTTTTCTTAGGATGTGTGTTAATCGGAAATCTTTTTTGAGTATAAGTCTCGGTGAGGAGTGTTCTAACCGTCTCTGATGAGTTTATTGAATTTGCTTTGGTTAAAATCTTGTTGTTTAGTTCTGTTGGGTTTATACACGTCCAGTTTATTTATCTTTACGGAGTTACCTTGTATTTCATTAATATTATCAAATCTAGAGGTTTATAGCTGAACTAGTTCTGCCATAATAACTCCAATTTATATGCACTCTAATATGTGCTTTGATGACTGTCACTCATCCATCGCTTATAGATCGTATATATATCGTATCGAATTGCTGCTTATTTGTTTCTGTCACAATTTTCATGTGTTTGTATGTATGAATAACAATGTTTGAAGAGGAGTATTCAGTTGACGAGTCCTTCTATGCGGTTCTATGAGTTCAAAGAAATATACTGGTGTGTCCACATTTGCTGCTTGTTTTAAGTTGATTACGGCAAAGAAATATATCCAATTCATAAATGAAACAGTTTGAATGTCTTCGATACCAATGACCTCTTTCTGCTTTGGTAAGTAGAACAGAACTCCACATTACTTTACATCAACTCAACAAAGTGAAACCTGTGTGTCACTGACTGTCCTACACAAACCGATGACATTATCATCAGGAGTTTTATTACTTGAGAATCAATCACCAGATTGAATTATAAGTCGAGTGATAATTTCTCTTATCCCTGTTCGTAAGTGTGGTAGCATTAATTTATTAGTATCAGTGTGTGTTTCTCTAACCATCATAGTTTTTTAATTGTGACTTTCAGGTGAACAACATAATGGCCATCCTGTTCATTGTAAACAGGAACACCAGGTGGATCGTGTTAACAAGTCTTCAGATTTCAACGAGGTGTCCAATACGGATGAAAACAGTCCACGTTTTAAGTTCCGTGAATGTGGGAAGTTGCATTCACATTCATTCAGTGTTCTTCCTGTGTCGATGTTGCCCAAATTGCGTAGACCAAGTTATCGTAGTGAGAGTGATTCTTCTGTCCATTCAACAGTACAACATGCACTGTTGGGGAATGGTTCTACTGAATTCAGTGAATCGAGTGGAAATTCTCGCCTTCCAGTTGAACAAGCCGATTCTACAGGAATATCATTCTCTCCTGCGGTGTTTCTCTCATCTCCACGAGTTAATCATGACAGACAGGTATTATATTTCATTTTTATTTTTGCATAAGTTTTGATTGTAAGATATGTGAAGTAGGGGGTATTTCCAGTAGAAGTTTGCTGACTGACATTGATTGGACAATTTTTCAAACGTGATTACAATTAGGTGGATGGGAAATCATTGTGTTTCGGTTCATAATCAAGCACTTAAATCACTGGCAGACATATGAAGTTTGACTTGACACCGAATGACTAGTTCCATACATTGACGTCAAAAGGAGACTACTATTTTCACGCTTGTTAGTTCTCTGAGCCTTGACATTTGATTGTAACTCTTTCATCACAAAAGTTGGCGAATAATATTCATGGTGAATGAGTGAAGAGCAGAATCATTTTTGGATTTTGTGAAGTGTGATACAGAATATCTGCTCGTCTTGATAGTATATGCTCTTTTTATTGAGTGAGAGTTTTTTCGTTTCTTGTTTGACGTGTTGGTTGTAGAACATGAGATATGATGGGAAGAATTGGCAGACAGAATGAGATTTGGTTACGAAATGGTGTTGAGATCAAGATCATTCCATTTTATGCGGTAAACTGCGTCAACAATGAAAGCATAAATTATTGTGCTTCGTGTGGATAACTCGTTTTTGACTAATCAGTGAGAGATACTGAGAATAACGAAATTTTCTTGTAGTACCTTCCTCGTTACCGGTTATCTGTGCTTCACATGTTAGTACAAGAATAATAATAAGAATAAGAATAACGCTGTACATATTGTGTATAACAGTACATGGTGCATCTAACGTCAATGGTCACACACTGCGTGTATTATTGCCAGACGTTGGTCTCTTTTACAAAACTCAGTCTATAGTTAGCAGTAGTTAGCAGATAGAAGGAATGCATGGTGAATATTCTTTTCATTTCGGTATTTTAAGCCGAGCCTGCGTGTTGCTGTCTTATCGGCATCAGTAGATGAATTCAACAAACTCCAGAGGTATTTCCAAATAAGTTTAGTCCACATGTGTATTGTAAACTGGAGCCGTAGAATACAACAGAAACAGTTGGTATTTTCAGTAGACAATTGAATGCTACACGTTTGTCAGTCACTTTGCCTTTGTTCGGTAGCGAACAGTAGTGCTAGTTTATATTTCACACAATTGGTATATAAGGTCGAAGCGTTTTCTTGAAAATGTGTAACTAACAGGCGGACGAGACAGATAAGCGGAAACTAAACTCAGATCAGATTCAGGAAGATTACTGTTTACATTTTATGTATTATTTTTTTCACATGAAGGACTCATCAGTATTTCAGTGCAATTCAACATCCTTGAAGGACCAGAGTGTTTCAAAAGATATTAGACATGGAATGGACGGTGATAATACTCCTGTACTGAGTCGAGTGACACGTAACGCCAGTATCAGAAATCCACAATGTAAATCAAGACTCGGTCGAGGTCAGAACACTGATAAGGAGAATGATGTGAACAAGTCAACGGAATGTCATCAAAAGTAGGTTTCTAGTCGTATTTTTCATTCAGTGAGCTGTTTATCACACAGTTGGTTGGTTACCTTTTGACAACCTGCTATCTAACATCACTTCAACTGAAAACGGTGTCTGTATCGTATGACTCAAGTTATGCATAACGCATGAGTGTTAGTCTTTACAAATGTCTGACTGAGAACGTCCAGTTAATTTGTCTTGATACTGAATGATAGAAATAAGGCTACTGCCAATTTGAATGTAGGAAATGGAAGACTCCTTCCATCTCAGTCTCACTTAAAATGGATCTGGAAATGGGATGTAACCGGGTGATATGTCTCTTTAATGTTCGATACGATTCTTGTTATTACCATATTTTTATAGATATTGTTAACTGGGATTATTTCGAGTCTGTAAATCTGATCTTACTCCTGAGATTATCTCAAGGAAGACTCATTGTTGATGTGAAAATCTTCACGAGACAATGTTGCTTCAATATAAAACTCCATACTGTGTGATAATTTTATGAGTCATTGAACCACATACTTGTAGTTTTGAAGCAGTCTACATATTCATTGAATGATTCCCAGGATGAAGGTGCCCATAACGACAAAATGATAAGCGGGAAATATCTTTTATTGGATGTCAGTCTTGGGTGGAAATTTCAGCTGATTTGATCTTCAGTAATTCATCTGTATTTTAGTCAGTCATTTTGTTTGAAGTCGAGTATGAGTAGCTAAGGATTACTGATTACTACAGACGTGAAGTGAACTGATTGATATTGCGACACCTTCTTCTTGGATTAGGCAAAAGTACTCACTGTCTTGATTTGCTTTTCCATCTGAAGCTGTCACTTTGTTTGTATTCATCAAGAATTTAATAGTTGAACGGATCAGCGTACAGCTGTTATGCTATAAATACATGTGAAATACAATGATAATTTTCTTTCCGTAATATGCACAGACTTCGTATTGCCATTAGAATGAAGTCAGTTATTAACTGTCAGCTGGATGAATATAATTTTCTTTGTATTTTAGCAGTGACATGGAGATCGCTGCAGTGGTTGACTATCTATCTGACACTCTGAAAGATGACTGTCATCCAGGTGCTCCTGTGATAATTCGTCGTAGTAAAAGTGAAAGGAGGCTTGTCACTGTGGACAATGGATTTAACATATGTTCAGGTGGTCATCAAAAATCATTGACTTGTAGCAGTGAAGATAATGGACCGATTGAACCAAGTGAGTTTGTTTCACCTTGTTATTTACTGCACTTATTAAGTTTCTTTTCAATAATTTCCTCGCTTGAAGATAGGCATAAGACTTCTGTGTGTATAGATTGCAGAGAAGTTGGGACTGTTCAAAACTAACACTGGTCTTTGAATGCTGGTTTGAGATGCACTGAGTGATGCAGACGGACTGACATGGGCTCTTGGAATGTCAGGAATCAACGTTTGAGAATTATTGGTGATGTGTCTCATAATCCTCTCACAGTGTGCACGTGTATTTACTCCACATCATTTTATAGATTCTGAAATTCCTTACTGGTTATCGTTTAATTTTTTGCTTTTTCGTCTGTCTCTGTGAACTAAGGTTTCATTAAACTTGCCATCCCTGTATTTATGTGCTTCTTTGAAGCGTGTTAAACCTAGCTGATGCACTTTCGTGGGAAGTTTTATATTGATATATCAATCAGTCAACCAATTAGATACTCAAAGAAATTCTTTATCAACCTATTGATCTTCATTTCTCGTTTGTGTATACTCCCTTCCCGTTTGTCTCTTTGTTCATCGAAAATTTCGGTGCAAGAACTTATCGTGATTAGGGAAATTGGAAAGAGTGAGAGTGTGCTAGAGAAAGTTGACCTTAATATTTTCAAATACTGAGTGAAACACTTTGAATTCATTGGCTGTGTGGAATTTTCTGAAGTATGAAACTTGTGATGATGAGAAGGTGTCTGATAACTTCTCAGTGAACAGCTGTACAGCTGAGATGTGCTATCTGATGTCGGCTGAGATATCAAATTAGGAATACTTACAAAACATGAATGGAAGCAAATTAAACCTGTCTGAGCACAATTATACTCCGAACATAATTTATCCTGGATAGTCGCCTGTGACCACATGTGCTAGTTACTTCCTTGAAAGGATTGTCATCTGACTTGATTATGTGAAAGGAATGCATCTGACATTTCTGTGTAGACTGATGATCGATGATATTTGTTTATGGAATAGACTTATAGAGATCTTTGTAAATACTTGTCATGGGAAGCAGTGATAGCCTTGTTGTGATTTACAATATAATACCGAAAGGCTTCTCTGAAAAAAAGCCGCTTAAGAGGATATTTTCATTAGAATCCTTTTTTTCACATATGTTTAAATGTACCCTTTTGTTGCAGATTCTTCGGTTTTAATAATCACCGCCTTTATGTTTCAGAAGAAGAAACCATCAACCGATCCGTGCAATTAAAGCAACGTTTTGTGGAATTACACAGGTAAGCATTATTGCTGAAGGATTTATAGGAATGGTGAGTGAGTTTTATCTATTCGGAGTAATGCTATGTCATAAATTGGTACAATTCTTGATGCAATAATAACTGTTACGTTCTGTTAATGGCTAATGATAATGCGAACTGTGTCCCAAAAGACCAAGTTAAGCTTCAGCGGATGACTGATCTGACTGATTCAGTGGGTCAGAAGTATGGAAATCTGAACCAGTATTCCGCTAGATGTTAGTTTCAATGAAACAGTAATGAAGTGAAAGCAATCATCACATATAGATCTCAAGACTTCGGATGATACATACCCACAAACAACGACTTATTTTAGGTATGATGGAGGAGATTTGTAGCTTAGGTGGATGATTTTGATGTGGTTGTGTTCTCTGAGGTGGATAGATAATTTGCAAAGCTTTCATCGCCCTCTACTAGGCAACATAGTCAGTGAATACTTCACTTTTAATTGAAGTGAGCTTTTAGATTCCTCCACGAGTTTATTAGTCACCTCTCCTGATGGGTGACCTTGAATGTAATTGGTTGTTTTGTGTGTTTTCACATCCTCTTGGCTACTTGTGTTGATTGTTTCCTTGACTTGAACTTTGACCCTTTTTGTGTGGGATTTTCTTCTTATCGGTTGGTAAATTTTGTCTATCTCGATGTGTCTATTGGCTAACGATTCACTGGAATACCAGGCTGGCTTCTGAAAATTCACTAGTATTTTTGGTTTTTCCGCTGTCTAATAACTGAACACTGGTTGCCCTAGTCGAATACGATACAAGTAGCCTAGAGGGTGTGAAAACACACAAGGCAACCAATCACATTCAAGGTCACCCATGAGGAGAGGTGACTAATAAACTCGTGGAGGAATCTAAAAGCTCACTTCAATTAAAACTGAAGTATTCTCTGACTATGTTGCCTAGTAGAGGGCGATGAAAGCTTTGCAAATTAACTATCCAGCTCAGAAAACACAACCACATCAAAACTACTTATTCTATTTGTCAGTAATCAGATTAATTGTCATGATCCATCACTGAAACTGTCGTAAAAAGCAAGTCTGAAATATCAATTAACATTGTTGAAATACGTCTGTGGATGAAGATAGGGGAATCACCAAAAGATGCGATAAAAAAAAACTTTTCTTGTTGATAACATATAAACTCATCTTACTAGGCAAAAAGGGCGTAACTAACATAATATATAAATTGAGTAATGTTGCCTTCTTCTGTACTGAAGATGATAATAACACGTTGTTAGTGTTTCACTCAGGTGGCTAATAGAGGGTTGGTGTTTAAAAAGTTTTATTGAATTGACAAAGAAAATGACCCTATAAATATGGAAGAGAAAGTCCTGAGTAGGTAGGTGAGTTTTACAGCTTCACAAATACACAAGTCTTCAATTTATCTCTTTTCGTAGAAACTAACTGTGACATCCTTGAAAAAGTGTACAGTGTAATGAGACTACTCATCTGGTACATCATTTTAGTAGGCCTGGAAGTCTTTTTTCATTGTGAGATTTAATTAAATTTTATGACATAGATGACTGTTTTGCTTGTGGATTTCTTATTCGACATTCTTAGATTGATGACATTTTCAGAGCTATTTATTTAGTCAAGGAGAGTGGGTTTGACAAAATCAGTCATTAAGGATTTTGACAAAATAATTTCAGGAATTCATCTGCCAGTTTTTACCATCTTCGGTGGTGGATGTGAACATTTTTTCTGCACATAATCATAGTTGGATTTATGGAACAGAGTTTTAATCGAAGAAGACAAGGTCAGTTTTTTGGAATGTATACACTAATAGACTAATTCTCTCTCTACACTACTCATACAGTGTCATCAAATGAGAATGCTAAATTTATCCGGAAGAATAGACGTGAACCAAAGGAGTAGGCGGGCATTAGTCAAAGATATACACAAAGTTTGACGTAGGGATCTGATGTAAATAACACTTTCTTAAGATGAAGGGCGTTGTGTTGTGTCCAACAAAACAAGTTTTGTATTCTACATTATGACAGTAGTGTCTAGAATCTCTAAGTTAATTCAAATGGACCTTGAGAAGCTTGCTTTTTTCCCACACTGTTTATAGGCCTTCAGTGTGCGCCAGCGCCATAGTACTCATAAACAACACTGAGCAATGACGAGATTCAATCATAGCTAACTTATTCATTTCGACTTAGTTTCACACAATTGACTGAATACTTATGAGGTGGTAAATTGTTGTATCGTGGGTTAATAACTAGAACTTATGTTAGAAAATGTGTGAAAAAAGTTACTGTAAAATGCGCGCTGGAACACCATGCAACATGGAGAACACAAAGAGGTATACGGTTGGATAACAGAGCACCTGGTGAATTCTGAGCATTCAGCTCCGTTTGAAAAGTCCTTCAAAACCATATGCAAGATCCGATCCAACCTACCAAAGTGAGTGAAATCAAGACATCTAGGAATAATTGAGGTACTGGCGATTCAAATACTCAAGCTACTCTGTGTGTGCACAAGAAATACATCCAACCGTTGTCCTTACCATAGCCATCATGAAAAGTCAGTCCCACCAATAACGATGATCCTATTACACTTCTTATCCAACCTTCCCTCTTATTTGTTATATTTGCATTTTTAAATTCCTTTTGCATTATTAGATTTGGTTACTATTTGTATTTTTGTATGTCCAAACCTCCTACACATTTCGTTAGTACTACGTCCTTAACCCGTAATTCTACAAACTGACGAGTTATCCAGTAATTATAATCCTATTTTATTTTTCTACCCTATCTTCCTCATTATTACACATTGTAATGTTAATTTGACCTGAAATATTTCTAGAATAGTGGTACTTCCTGTTTATTGCACTTAGTAATTTTATTAATTTCACCTTTGACCGGAAATAATTCTGGAACTTTCTCAAACATTTAATATAAATGAATACACGAATATACAGCCTCCTAGTTGGTGAAATCATCGAAAAGAAAACTTTCTTCGCTTTGACCGTCTTTTTCATAGTAATTCCTATGATTCAGTGTGTGTATATTCCGTGTTACAGAATGTATCAAAGCAATGGTGGACACCAGTTAGACTGGATGTTATCGGATAAGCTGTTTCGATATGATTACTGTTATATTTGAAGTCTGTACATTAATACTTATATGTACCTGTCTTATCTTTTTCTTATCGCCTTGATTTACAGAGAGTGTTTAAAATGTGTCGGACTGAAGAAACTACATGAAGCTTATGAAATTCTGGATAAAGATATGAGTTTTGCATCACAAGAGGTGAGTGGATAACAGGCATACATAAGGTGAGAAAGAAAAAGGGAGCAAGTGCTCTCTGTTGGAATAATCTAAGTTAACCGTAATTAAGTTGACACACACGCTGTACGAGTGCATTTGACATTTACTGACAGAAATATCAACGAAAGCGGACAGAATAATACGGTGTCAAATTAAGTGTGCTTTGTGACGTTTATCAGATTGTGTTTCACTAGCTGAATGGCTGATGTAAATCGGAGTTTACCTCCAGGACACCAGGAGATTAAATCGGATGTTGACATGTTTAAATGACAGAATGTTTACACATAAGTGTGAATGTTGTATGAGATCCTTGAAGAGGGTAGCAGAATTCAGTGAAATATTATACCGCTTTTGACGAAAAGAGTAACAGTTCTCAAAAAAGGAATACAGATTGCTCGCGACCATTGATCAATGCAGTTTTATTAGATGGAGATAGCACCCGACTTTGTTCAGTACCTTTGTATGCATGATTTTGATAAAAGGAGGAAGCAGGAACACTCATCTTCTGATTTGTTGTTACTTTATCTTTCAGATTTTATTGAAGAAGATTCTCGGAGTGGATATTTACTCACAGTATATGAGTAAAATTTGGCAGCTGAAATTACTTGAACAGTCTGCTTTTGAACAAACTCCGTTGAGATAACCACCAGAGAGGTTCGAGAATTTCTTCTTCACTCTCACCAGTTCCTTCATCATGTCAAAGCGTATTCATACATCCCAGTGATTCTAATTGCTTTTGATTTTGCTACTTTATATTTCCGATAAATATGATTTGCAGAGGCAACACAGTTATACTATGTACCTTTCTCACTGATTTCATAGAGAAATATGATTACTTTGGTTTAGGCTAGCGATGTCTCATGTATCAGCAGGCTATTCATACACATTCGGATGATTCTGTCTACGTTGTTGATTGTTCCTTGTCCTAGGTCATGGTCTTTTACTTACCTTCTTTGAGAACGTTTTGACTTCTAACTTAATATTTTGAGACTGCTTTTGAAGCCATGTGATAGTTGTTGTTTGAGAATTAATTGTGAATAGACTGTGAGGCATGGTGATACTTTATGAAGGAGAATTCGTTAATTTCATTTCATTTTATAATCTCTTTCCATATCATATTTTTGACGCCTTTTCTACGAACACTACTACTAATACTACTTGATGTAAATGACTACTAATTATTGTTTTGTATAATTTAATATTCATCTGATTTTAAACTGTATAATATCCATGGGCATAAAGAATTTGTCGTTAAATGGTCTTCTTTTTTAAATGAATTATATCCTTCATCCGACATCGAGGGATGTTTTTTTAAAGCCTAGTACAATAAAATGTAAGTCACAACGTTCAGCTCACCGAAAGTTATTTAAGTTCTCCAGAATAAGGCATTTAGAAGACATATGTCACGAGATAATATCTTCATTTCGTAATTTCTCTACAATCGCTTTACAACATACAAGGTTCACGATAATGAAATAAAACAGAAAGCATGACAATTACTCAGTTATGTAAAAGAAAAGTGCATACATTCTAATGACCAATCATATTTAGGTAGGTCAAGTAGTCAGTTCATGGTAGGCGAAGGTTGAAGTCTATTGTCTTTTTTTACACATAGTTTAGGATGTAGGGGATTAATCCCTAAAGTACTTGCATCACCTTCAATAACCAACCTTGAATTAGAGTTATGTGATGAAATAATTGTGAAACAGTAATTAATATTGATTTTGTGACCTGACATTAATAAGTGCTTCGCAATGGATGATGATGATGGATTTCAATTTAGATTAAGTGCATTGTGATTTTCTACGTGTTTTAATAACCATTTTGGAACATTTTCTTTTCGACAGCCACACTGGAACATTTTATTAATTTTTTCTACATAAATGTCACCGTAACTGCAGGTGGACTTGTAGATACAATTTGAAATACGGTGTAGAGAAATTTGTCTTTTAATCGTAGGTACATGGATAGAAAATGTTAGAGATGTGGCGTAGAGTGTACGCTTGATGACTGAGCTGTCATCTACAAAAGTGGATCAACATTGAATGCAGATTAATAAAGATAGCTTTCTTTGTTTCAGAAGCTGTCTTTTCAAGATGTGGTCTACGCCTACTGCGACAGTTGATTAAGTTCCTTGGGATTAAGTAACCTTTATACTGGATAGGAATAAAACTGGTGAAATTAAGATATTGTCCATTTCATGTTTGATTAAGAAATAAAGGTCGCTTAACTGTACCATCATTTCTCTATTGAACTGTTTCCTGGAAATGCGTGCACTGAAGTTGTCACACCTTGGAATACATAAAGAAAGGCAGTATGGAGAAATCAGTAGAAATTTTAGTTTCTCCACTCAACATGAATACAGAATCAGACAACAAGAATGAACAAATATTGTAGCAATAATTCTCTGTTATCAAGATGTAACAATAATAAAACCAGGAAAAGGCGATGTTAGAAAGACAGGCACAGTGAAGAAAATCCACTTTTCGATTAAGGCTGTACATTTGTGTATTTATAATGAATAGGTGAGAAAGTTCCAGAAAAAATTCCGGTCAAAGGCATAGCTGAGGCATTAGCAATGCAAAAGTTCGAACCCACACTCTGCATTCAAAAGAAGTACGTCCAATCACTGGCCCTATTATGGACATTATAAAAGCTGATTTTTATTAATAATGGTCATCCTATTTCCTTTCTCATCCAATCTTCGTTTTTATTTCTGTTAACTTTACGTTTCTTAAAAGTGCCTATGAACTTCCTGCCCATTTTTGGTATTGCTACAGTTTTAATCTCTAATTGCACAAAAAAGTCAAGTTTTCTCAATAATTATGATTTTGTTATGTTCTTCAAACGACTCTACTATTTGTTATACGTTACAGTTTTATTCACTTAACCTTCGACCTATAATAGTTCTGGAACTTTCCCACCCATTTACTCTGTAAATACACGAATGTACAGTTATCTAGTTGATGACTTTGTCAAAATGAAAATTATCTTCACTGCAGACATCTGAGACCATACGTAGGACTCTGAATTAAACAGGAGTTAGGGTGGCATTCAAACCTTCAAACTCACTCACGCAGAGACAAGCTCTGTAGGCTAAAAGACCCGGTGGACTCAATTAAACAAAATAATGTAATTTACAAAATACCTTGCAATGAATGTGTTATGTCAACTATATTGTTCAAACTTGCAGGTCGGTGGTAGTCAGATTGTCGGAACATAGGAATTTAGCTAAGGTTAGAATGGTTGACCCCGGGAAGATAAGTAATTTAAAAAAGGTCAGCGATTGCACTCCATGCTTTAACACACAATCACACAACAGGGTGGGTGGGAGAAAGTTAAAATTCTAAGAAGTAATCTAGATAGGTGGAGAAAGAGATTGATTACTGAATCCTTGTTCATCGAGTCAGCACAACCAACTCATGCAACAAAAATGACTCAATGCAAATTCCAGAAATATGGAAGATATTATCACCAACAATCAGTCAAATCACAGGAGGATAATAAATAATCTCAAAATTCTATTACAATTCAATTCAAACACATCACAACATTCTAACAAGTTACTTATTTATTTTGACTATAAAAGAGAGTCGTCTTATTTCTCATCTGATTGTAATTGATCAATAACACTCATATTATTATTTCCGAGTGAACATTATCACATATTGATTTTATTCAAATGTCTAATCATCAATTTTACTCATGTATATAAATGAAGCAAAAAGGTTGTCTAAGTGACCTAACATGATTATGAGCAGTAATAATTTGTGCTCGAAATGTTGTCATCAGTTTATAATACTGTACAACAACACTGTCTGATTTTATCAAAATAAAATCCTATCTATAATGGAGTTATACTCTATCAGCATAGTGCCCAAGTTTTATGCTTATAACTTTTTAGTAGTTCCTATGATCTAATGTGTATATTCTGTGATAATTCTACTACCAATAATAATGATAACCCGCTTTATTCCAAAGCAGTATTCATGATACAGGATGGAACTCCAAGCATTTGGTGCAACACTGCATCTAATTCACTCAATAACAACAGCAGAAACAAACAGGATAAAATAGTATGACAGGGTATAGTTGACTGAAATGGATCATAACAACTTTCTGGCTATAAGAGTAACAGTCATGTGGAAAATAAACAAAAAGTGTAAAATGATAATGGTAATTATAATAATGTTAGTAACTGAAATTATAACTACAATGAATTAGTGTCACGATAAATTACAAATAGAAGATGAAAGAGTCATTCATTTTGCTGATTGCATAATAAGTTGTAAGTTTCATGCCTAGCACTTTCTCATTCACATAAAACACGGATCGAATGGCGTATCATTGAGTTTCTGTAGTTGGTAGTGCTAGCAAGCATATAATCTTTTATACTGACTTCTTCTAGTGTTACCTTACGAGATACAATATGGGGCGAGTTGTGAAGAGAGGAGGGTGTTGAGAGTCAGACAGTATGGATGCAAACCACATCTCACATGAGTTCAGGTGACTGCTGACTGCAGCATTAACAAGCTGGCTGACTTAGTGGCACACTACCTGCCTTAATAACCCTTCAAAACATGACATAGTCCTTTTTGAGTAGCCTAGAAAAGACTAAGTTGTGGGGAGAGCAATAAAGAACGATAGGTAAGATGCCAGAAGTAACAAATTGTAAAAATTGGAGGTTCAGGGATTCGTGATTATCTCAACTTCTTAATGTAGAAGATTGGACGGAGCATTTTCTTAGAATTCGATGAGATTTATGCTGAATTCGTACAAAGCGTAAGTCATTCATGAATATCAACAATAAAATTATTTGATATTACTGTTTCAAACAAAGATAGTATTTTTTTCAAAAGAATGGTAATTGAACAAAGAATATTCTTTTCGATAACCCCTTCTGCATCAGGTTCTACAGTTACATATATATTATAGTGAATAAATGAGTGATATTAACAGTATTAATGTCGTTTAAATAAGACCTAGCCAATAATAATATTGTTCTGGTGTGATATGGACAATGTGTTCCAATGGAATATTGTTCTCACATATTGCCACAGTTCAATACGGCATTAGCAACAGAATACGATTCATGTATTTGAACATCCTATTTCATGCCGTTTAATGTAAACCAAAATCACACGTTCAGTCATTGGCTAACCAATATAAACTATATATATATATATATATATATATATATATATATATATATATATATATATGGTAGACCTTTTACTCTGTTAGCTGAGTTACCCAAATTCAAATAGAAAATAATGTACCAAATCAGTTTAGTTACGGGAAGAATGTATTAAAGTTTGGTTACTTGGGTTTACAAAGATCCAAAGTCCACAATAAACGTAGTAGACTCCAGGTGCTGCGGGAAGACTGCTCCAGTACTAATTCTCCAACGTTGACGTTTCCGGAGGTCGACCAAAGTACGTAGGAAGAACTACGGTGCTCCTGCAAAAATTTGAGATAGAAAGCAGGTGATTAAAATTGATCGACGGCAGTTGAGATGGTGGAGAAGATGGAGAGTCGAAGGCAGAACTATATATTTATTCAAAACCCGAGGTAAAGTTCAAAGTACAGAGTTTATGGTTAAAACAAAGTGATGTACAATATGTTCATTTCTTACATAGTAGT